TTTTACTACTGCTGTGGAAAATCTCTACTTTCCCCCTCCAAGTTTAATAGCTCCACATCTATTTTATTCTTCATTTTTCTCCCAAGCATGGACAGGCTTCCTATTAATGTGTGCACTCAGCATTCCAATTCCTGTAAAATAAAAAGATCATTCATAGAACATTATATGAATCTGATTTTCCTATATGTCCTAAGGAAAAACATTAAAAGATACAGAGAGTTGGGTCTGGCATTGTGGTTCAGCACCTACAATGCCTGCACCCTATCAGAGGACTAGTTCGAGTCCCAGCCCATCCACTTTTAATTCTCTGTAAATACACCTGGGAAACAGCAGAAGATGGCCGAAATATCCAAATATCCGAAAGAGAGACCTGGATTGAGTCCCTGCCTCCTGGCTTCAGCTTCACCCAGTCCTGGCTGTTGTAGCCATTTGAGGAGTGAACCAGGGGATGGAAAATCTCTCTCTGTCACTCTGCCTTTCAAATAAAAAAAATCATTTAAAAAAATGTAACTAGAGCTAAGATATTACTTTCCTACAATGTGCACTTAAAAAGTTCCCTTGAGACTAAGTTAGCTGTTACCCATTATTCTTAACATATTCTTATACAAAGTTCATTCTCTTGGGATAACATATAAAATATTACAGAGACAATTTGTTATTCTTAAACATATGTATGTCTTTTTATTCTCTTCTAGACTGCCATATGCTTTAAAAGCTTGTAAATTGCTTAGAATCAAAACTGAGGCAAGTCGGGCCCATTACAGTGTCTTTAGAATCTCATAGAATGTTTTTGAAACCAATTGCCATGGACAGATTGTTTTTATTCACTCTCTCAAAATCAGAATATTGTGATCAACTTTTATGGGACCAGATGCCAAGGCCATATGGAGCTTACAGTATAAATCACAGTCAACAACAAGTTCTCATTTTAGATGGTCTTTGTGTACTACAAAGGCTATCTATAAGTTGAATTCTTCTGTTAATTATGTTCACCTAAATGATTGATATTTACTATTTCTCTTTAATTTAGAGAAGGGAAATCACTAGAAGTATTGAGATAAGTTTTAATTTAATCTCTCCACCCAAAAATCAAATGAATAACACTTTTGTCCTGGTTATCTATTTTTTAATTCTTTATTTTACATGTAAGGACTGAGTTTGAGTTGTGTATTCTAATTGTCTATTACATGTCTTCCTCTCCCAATAATAATGTGACCTTTGAGAGGTAGGAATTTTATTTTTATTTTTAACTTATTATATATTAGCTAATAGAGTATTAATCTAGGAGGCTGCCTAAATTCTGAACAAATGAATAAATAAAGGCAGACTCTAGTCCTAGAGAAACAAACCATGCTACCTTAAAAGTAGATCTATATTTTATATGATAAAAGGAATTTTAACGTGCCAATGGCATTTATTGAGCACTTACTATGCGGTAGATGTGGTATGTGTTTTGCTTACATAATTTAATTTAACCCTCCCTTCAAACTAATGCCATAGTTATTACTATCCACATGTTTTTAATTTTTAAGCTTTTTATTTAAGTTATACAAGTTTCATATATTACATATATACAGATTTAGGAACATAGTGGCCCTTACCCCCCTACCTTCCCTCTCTCCCCCACTTCAACCCTTCTCTCTCTCCCTCTCAGATTTCCACTCTTAATCTTTACAATGATCTATTTTCAGTATACTTAATGATTGTATACTTAACCCAACTCTAAGTAAAAGAGTTCAACAAATAGTATGAAGAGAAATAAAACAAAACAGAACACATTTTGCAGAATAGGATAGTGAGGTTTACACTCAAGGTTCTTCCTAATGCCACAAAGCTAAGAAACTATAGAACTCTGATGTGTTCTGAAATTGACACCAACGTCCACATTCTATCTACTACTGCACAGAGCCAATTATAAAGTGATTAGATAACAAAAGCTCATGAAACTTTGAAGCTACCGTTAATTTTATCAACAAACTATTGATTCATCACTAACTCTAGCATGTTTTTCAAATGTGATTATAAATGTAAGGAGGCCAAAAAAGACATATTTGTTTTTTATTGTCAACACGTCCAATAATCCTTTCATTCCTGAGAAAGCAGTTATTCTCTGCATGGATTATGAAAAATACCAATTGTGCATAATTTTTATCAAAGTTCTTAAGTCAGTCCAAGTAGGCTGTTTTTTTTTAAATTTGGAAATACTTCCTTAGAGCCATTCTTGGGTTTGGGATGTTTGTTTGTCCCAGTGTCACTTGAGTTAAATTATGACACAGAAAATATTCACCATAGATGTTACCTCAATACATACAGATATTGTGTATTTATACACATATCAACACACTTGCCCAGTGTCTCTTTATTAAGCCAACTGATTTTAGCCCATAATCCCTACACTGATAAACATAGAGGAATTTTTCAGCACTTCTGAAATCTTTTGAAAATCAATCCTGTGATTCTAATAGAAAATAATTCCTTAGTATGGTTTTGAGAAAACTTTGGATTTTTAAATATATTCTTGACTTATGAAATATCCAGGATGCTAATTGAAAATCAATAGCCATATTAAGAAATTATTTAGTGTGCTGTACATTGAGATTTAATGCTATAACTAGTACTCACACAGTATTTTTCACTTTATGTTTCTGTGTGGGAGCAAACTGTTGAAATCTTTACTTAATGTATGCTAAACTGATCTTCTGTATATGAAGAGAATTGAAAATGAATCTTTATGTGAATGGAAGGGGAGAGGGAGTGGGAAAGGGGCGGGTTGCGGGTGGGAGGGACGTTATTGGGGGGAAGCCATTGTAATCCATATTCTGTACTTTGGAAATTTATATTCATTAAATAAAAGTTTAAAAAAATAAAATAAAATAAAAAGGAGAAAAAAAGAAATTATTTCAATATGAGGGCATGCAAATATCAATCAACATGTGAATCCCCTTTCTAAAAGTAAATTATTTTTCACATTAGCATTTGAGGAAGCAAATTTCTCTAAAGATTTTATTTATTTATTTGAGAGGTAGAGTTACAGATAAAGAGAAGGAGAAACAGAAAGGTCTTCCTTCTGCTGGTTCACTCCCCAAACAGCCATACCTGCTGGAGCTGAGCCAGTCCAAAGCCAGGAGCCAGGAGCTTTTTCTTCTGGGTCTCCCACATGGGTGCAAGAGCCCAAGCACTTGAGCCATTTCTGCTGCTTTCTCAAGCCTTGGCAAAGTGCTGGATGAGAAGAGGAGCAGCTAGGACATGAACCAGCACCCAGGTGGGATGCCGGCACTGCAGGCAGAAGCTTAGCTTACTATGCCACAGTGCTGGCCCCAGTTATTTTTCTTATTAGCATTTGTTGGAGGATTGAAGTATAAATTGAGTTACCACATCAGGGTCATTAAAAAAAAAAAAAACTACTGCACTCATTATTTTTTTTAAGATTCCACCATAAGTTGGGGAAAAGCTTACTTCTCTGAATGCCATTTTTTGTAAATGAATAAATACCTTTGGGCTTGTTTTGGCCAAGTGGCTGATAAACCAAATTGATGAAGTGAATTTGCAGGCCAAATACCTTTGCATGCCAAGGCTACTATAAATTTTAGGATGCTTTAATAGGAATTCTTCTATTTTTTAAATGTTTATTTATTTATTTGAAAGGCAGAGTTACAGAGTGGCAGAGGCAGAGAAATCTTCCACTCACTGGTTCACTACCTCAGATGGCCACAAACACCAGTGCTGGGACAGGCCCAAAGCCAGAAGCTTCATCTGGGTATCCTACTCGGGTGGCAGTGGCTCAAACACTTGAGCCCTTCTCTTATGCTTTCCCAGGCCATTAGCAGGGAGCTGCATAGGAAGTGAAGCAGCCAGAACTAGAACCGGCACCCACGTGGGTGAGAGTGGTTTCACCCACTGTGCCATAACACCAACCCCAAATGCTTCTAATTATTTTATTCAACTTTATTTCAGAACAAAACATACATTATTTAATTATTTAGAGTTAATATTAACAAAATGTGACTTATGTTAAATGCAGACAAGCTCCATGTCTTTCCCTAGATGCTTTTGTACAAATATAGCTGTCCTTGGTATTACTTATCTTTCTCTGTGAGTACCAGTCTGATACACAACTGCAGACTCCGTGTCCCCTTAAGAGATTATAAACAAAGACCAGCAATTCTGATAATAAGAGGCTTCTGATATGAATAATTCTATAAGTTTATTTCTGAAATAAAAATAAGCAGAAATACTCTTGTTGTCTCTTTTCATGATATCAAGTAGGTCACGTTCTGATTTCATAGTTTTTCCTTGTATCATAATACCTGATGTAATTAAGAATCTTTTAAATGGATAGAAGATACAGAAATGTTAAAGCAAATCTCGTTTAATAGAAACAGTTTTATTCAATTGTATGTGTTTTAAGATTTATTTTATTTATTTGTAAGCATTACAGAGAGAGATATAGACATAGAGGTCTTCTATCCGCTGGTTCACTCCCCAAATGGCCACAGTGGCTGGAGCTGAGCCAATCCAAAGCTAGGAGCCAGGAGCTTCCTCCTGTCTCCCTCATGGGAGTAGGGGCCCAAGGACTTGGGTCATCTTCTGTTACTTTCCCAGGTGCATCAGTAGGGAGCTGGATCAGAAGTGGAGCAGCCAGGACTCGAACTGGCACCCATATGGGATGCCGGCACAGTAGACCAGGGCTTTAACCTACTGCTCCACAAAGCTGGCTCCCATATGTTCTTTATTACACATAAATTTCATAAGTACTTTCTTCAAATCTTAACTAGTTACAATGTTGCATTTATAATGAATAATAAATTTATTAAAATTATTCACTTTCCCATTTATGTTTTAGTACCATGTGCCATTAAGCATTTGTAGATGTTACAAATAACCAAGATCTGTGGTATAATAAAGTATTAATACAACTTAAAACTACTGATCTTTACAAGTATCAGCTGCAGATGTGGTAGAATTCATGCACATAATTGAAAATTCCATTAATTTTTCAGGTCCAAGAAATTAGCAGAATTAACGAGGATGAAAATGACTATGAAGAGGATTTTATCTCATTTTCTACATATTCTCCCTGTAAGTTTTCCTACATATTACATACATTCATAACCTACATATCATGGTATAGTTGACTAGAAAAGTATTTAGTTAATTTAATGACTTTCAACTTATGTTGGAGATATTACTACATTATAGTGTTCATTTCAATGCTTTTTTAAATTTAAGCATTAATAATCAAACAGCACTTATCCATACCTGGAGAGCATACAAGTCATGCTGCTGTAAATATTTTGTTGATTTGAAAAGTGTGTTTTTTTTTATTTTTCTTAAAGCATAGCCACGTCTGTAGAGGACCTCAGTTTTCTTGTTATAAAGTGAAAAGCTTGTACTAGAATGCTCTCTGAGGTCCTCCAGGCTCTAACAGTTATGATTTTCTCTGCTGATATCTAAAGACTAATTCAAGCTGTTCCTACGTGTTTGTAAACTCTACCCATGTTGCGTGTTTCGTTAGTATACAATACTTACTCAAGACCTACCAGCATGCCTGCTAAGCATCTCACACACCAGCTTTCTGAAACATCCAGACTCCAATGACAACCCCATCTCCGTAACTGAAAACGCCTTACTTTGTTCAAGTCAATGCAAAATCTTAAAACAAAATATTTATTTATTTAAAAGTGAGAGTTAGGCAGAGAGAGAGGTCTTCCATTCTCTTGTTCACTCCCCCAATTGTCCTCAATGGCCAGATCCAAAGCCAGGAGCCAGGAGCTTCTTCCGGGTCTCCCACATGGGTGCGGGGGCCCAAGGACTTGGGCCATCTTGTACTGCTTTCCCAGGCCATAACAGAGAGCTGGATCAGAAGTGGAGCAGCCAGGTCTCCAACCGCCACCCATATGGGATGCCAGCACTGCAGGCGGTAGCTTAAGTCTCTGCACCACAGCTCCAACCCCAATCCAAAATCTTTGACATCATTCTTTGCTGTTGTACTTTCTCTTCTACACCATATAGTGCTCGACTCTACCATCAAGGTGTCTCACCTGTTTCATTGTCACTTATCCTAGTCCATACTGTCATCACCTTTCCCCTGGTTTATTTCACTGGTGAAATGGTTTTCAATGGAGAGCTAATTGCTACCACTGTCAGTTATGCAAAACACAGACTTTGAGTGTTGTGACTCAGATATGGAGTATTTCTATTATTTAGTGAGTATGGACACCAGAAATGCTAATAAATACCCTACAATGCACAGGAGAGATTCTCACAAGATTAGCCCACCCGAAATGTCAACCATCTGCCATTAACAAACACTGCAGGAATAGGCATTGTGACACAGGGGGTTAAGCCACTACTTATGATGCTGGTCTCCCTTATCAGAGTTTCAGTTAGACTTGGCTTCTCATTCAACTTCCTGCTAATATACATGGTAAAGCAGCAGAAGGTGGCACAGATGCTTGGAGCCTCACCACTGACATGGGAGAATTTAGTGGAGTTCAGGGCTCCTGACTTCAGCCTGGGCCAGCTGCAACTATTGTGGCCATTTGGGGAATAAACCAGCAGACTATCTCTTTCTCTCTTGCTTTCTTTCCCTGCATTCTGCTTCTCAAACAAATCAATTTTTTTTAAAGTGAGGATATAGCATTGTGATATAGCAGGTTAAGCCTCTGCCTGCAGTGCTAGCGCCTCATATCAATACTGGTTCAAGGCCTGGCTGCTTCAGCTTCCTGGTATTGTGCCTGGAAAAGCAGCAGAAGATGGTCCAAGTCTTTGGGCCTTTGCACCCACGTTGAAGACCCACATGAAACTCCTGGCTTTGGCCTGGCCATTTGGGGACTGAACCAGCAGGTGAAAGAACTGTCTCTTCCTCCCTTTCAAATAAACAAATCTTAAAAAACAAACAACACTTCAATAGCAACTTCCACATCTGTGGCCTTTCATGCCCTATGCTTCTTGAAGGAACCAACCTCTCTTTTGCTCCCAATACCTTCTTGGAAGTCATAATCTTTCTCATCATTTACCAGTCTCTACATAATCATTTTGATCTGATCTCTGACCAAAATGCTTGACCTTAGCTGCAGTGAACACACCAAAGCTGCACCTGCCTCAGGGAAATTGTTCTTCCTGCTCCTTCAACATATTCTTCCTCCAGGTGTCTACACGACTGGCTTCATCACTTCTCCTTTCACGTCATGACCTCTTTCTCAACCATTACTTTTCATTTCCCTGTATCTGCTCCTTTTCTTCATTGCATTTATCTTCACTAACATTTTATGTATTGGGATGTTTTTAGTCTGTCTTCTCCTTCAAAAATATCCAACTATAGGGATCAGGACATGTTCTGTGTAGTACTTTGATTATATTCTCAATACTTGTAACAGTACGTATATGATGCTCAATTAAAAATTATTGACCATAAGTTTATCAAATGGCAAATTGATCTGCAAATCAAATATAATGTAATACAATGCCTTAACCAGTATGCATTGGCAAAATCAATAAACTCCTTTAAACATTATTGCAGAATTCATGAAAAAGCATGTTCAATATTAATTGAATTAATGCAACAAAATATAAAGTTATATATTATCATTTTTAACAATAAAAGTGATGACAAAGAATGGTTGATAATAACCACAGGTTCATCATGATATTTAATCCAGAGACCTGTCTATAATAAAATATTATTTCAGTTCTTTATAAAGAAAAGCATCATTTCTACAGTTTGGAACTGTTTTGTATATAGAACTTGTGATTTGGTTTATCCCTCAGGCACTTTCGTGGTGGGGTGTGTGTTTGTGTGACTCATAGAATGTACTAGATCGGTGAATATCCACTGGTTTCACCATCACTAGTAGCATGCCAAAATGCACTGGCCCATTCAATCTGACTTTCCAGGGCTGGATTCCAGATTCAAGCATATTTGACAAATAACAGGTAAACTCTGTTACTTAGTCCGGGTTTTGAAACGCTGAACACATAAACATAGTGGCCATGAGCAATTCCCTTTGAAGGGGGGTATAATTCTAACTTGATGACTAGTTTGTCCAGACAGGAAATAGTGAAAGCCCTTTGCTAGCCTGAGCAAGATTTCTGTCCAATCCTTCTATCTATTCCATCAACCTTTCTAGAACCTACTGTATTTCATTAGTTTGGACTCATTGATTGGTATTGAGGTAGAAAAATGAATGAGGTTTTTGTGCAAATCATGCAAAATGGAAGTCTGTCTGCTCTGCTCCTGCCGGTAACTAAAGAAATCTTGGTTCAGTTATAATGTTAGAAGCTGGATCTTTCTTCTTTCTCATGTGAACAAAGAGAAAGAAGAGAGTCCATGTGGTATGACTGGACACCATCACAGACATGGAGTTTATACATTATTAATTGTTTTGTACCTTTCATTTTTAAAAAAATCCTTCTCAACAGTATTCGGAGTTTTATTCATTATGTTTTAGCTTGCAACAATTTTAAATCAATAGTTATTGGCACTGACAATAACAATTCACATATTTCAAACTCTATTTGGAAACCCCAGATTCTGCCTTAAATTTTTTCGAATCCTTTATGCAGAGAGTTTTGTAGAGAAAATTTAATAAAATATTTCAGTCTTAAAGTTACTGCATTCTGATATAATTTTTGCTATTTCCTTACCAAATGGGTAAAGAGCATTTATTGTATAAAATATAAAAATAGCATGTTTCTTAGAGTAGAGGGAATTTTACTGGGTCATTTGGCTAAATCTCAAGTTAGAATGCATTTTATAGGTGAGATAACTGACCCTTAGATTTACCTGATTTGAACGCCTTCCCCATCAAAAAAAAAGAGTGAATATTTTTTCTCAAGTAATATTTCTAAAAGTTAATTTAGTAACTGCAGTAAATACATTTATATATAAGTTTAGCACACTAGATATATATTAAAATAAGTCCGATTCATTTGTATTCATTACTTATAAGCAAATCAAAGTTCATTTCTTTTACCTTGCCATCACTTACTTAGTACCTCCTTCATTGGATCAGTTTTCTAATAAAATGTGTCATGCTATTAAAGATAGGAATCCACTCAAATAATGACTCCAGAGAAGCAGAAAGTCACTATGTGCATGACTGTATCATGCACTGAGGTAGTAAGATAAGGAAAAATGGAGCTTTTCCTGTTCATTTGGTAAATATTTTAGAAGCCCAGAAATGACTGTTCACTAGAGTTATGCATTTGACAACTTTCTTCTCTTTCGGGTCATAAACATTTTATTAGCAGGACTACTTCTTCGGTATGAATTTACAAAATATAAAATGCCTCCAGATGGTGTGTCTAAATGAAATCATGCCATCTTCACCGTTCACAGCCACAGAGAGCCCAGCATTTCATCATGAAAGCAGGAATACACATGGGCCAAGTGCAGACGGAGCTGAGGCAATTGGAACAGCAGGGGGAATACTCGAGAATGAATCAGGCATGGAGGCAGAGCACAGGCTGGCGGAGGTTGACAGTGGGAGTCCTGAGAACCATTATGATGACTTGTATGCGTTCATCCCAGAAGTGGAGCCAGAAAATTATTCCCGAGAATCACGCTTGAGCTACAGACCTCCCCTTCCCCCACCACGACCTGTGACTGCTGGCTTCCAACTGGAAAAGCCTCACTTCATGTTGCAAGGTAAGCTTAAAGCTGACAAAACAAAAAAGATTGACATCCTACCATAGAACAATGCGATGGCAGCTGTACACAGATCAGCTCCTGAAACCTTGAAGCAACTGGGAAATGAAGCGAGAGACACCTGCCTCTACCTCTGCTTCCTTGCCTACCTTTTCTGTCTCTTCCCTCCTTTTTGTTTTTGTTTCTTTCTTGTGGAACAGATTCCTGACAAAGCTTTAAGAAAGTGACGAAATCAGACTTGGAAGGGGTTTTCAGTTTTGGTCATAAAAGGAGCCTTGGGATCTAGTCGGAAAGTAAACAACATTGCTTTTTGAAAAGTTTTTGTCTTCCAGCAAGAAAGGGTATTGTTTGGCACTCAGATCAGTTTGCAGTCTTGAGCACTTAGCTAACTGTAGGAGAAGGAAGGTTGATGGCCTACCACACTGGGACCAAAGTGTAAGAGCACGCTATACACTTCTAGAGTGGGAAGCAGGAAAGGGGCTACCAAGACCCTGGTTCCCAGATTCAGGGCTTGGGCAAGCTAGGCAAGGATGGGGAACAGGCTCTTGCAAAAGACAAGAGGAGGAGCTTCCACGTCAGGATTCCAGTTCCACATTCACTTTCCCAACATTATTTTATGTTTGTTTTCCAAATTCATAGAAGAGTCTTAACAAAGAAAATGTAAAAACAAAAATGAAAAATAAATACTCATTAGTAAACCCTATCTGCCACTATACATTAGACAATGTGTCCTAGAAGGCCACAGATACATAAAGACTGTTTTACAAAGTGAATTTTGAAGCCATGAACTTTAGCACATGTATATCATCTCATCAATGCCCTAAGCATGAAATTACTCACAATGACTTGTGGACATGTTCATTGGATAAACTAAGGCCATAGAACTCTACAGAGAGTACTTCTCAGTTGATAAATCGTATATGGTCTCTCTTTATCTGCATAACCAAAGAGTAACTCTATAATTCTTTGACTCAAACCTAAGAAGCTAGAGCTTGTAATTAGAATATGCCAAATACTGACTTCTCTGATCAGATTTCCTGGGCTTTTAGGATTATTCTTCCTTTTTTACATACTCTTGCCTGGTTATTTAAGGAGGTAGATTTTTAGCAATGATTTATGTTGGCCTTCATTTATTAATATATGACCTGAATTGAGAAAGCCAAGGTTCTACTCTTTAACGAGCAATATAATCGGATAGTTTGGGAAACAGAGTAAAATGCATTATTTCTAGTGCCAGCCCAATGTTAGAGAGTTGGGAAGAGAGGTGGGTGGAGAACAGAGACAGTTATCAGCTCAGAAAATCAGTTCACAAAGTAAGACAGGTGACACATTCTGCTGAAAATGAAGCACTGCAAAAAGTGATTCCCACACACGTCATCTGATTTCACCCGGGATTCTGTCAGTGAGACACAAGTCACGAAGTCAAAACTCTCCAAACCAAATTATTCATAAGGGAAAAGGCAAGTCATGATGATTTCAAAGTTAGTGCTAGACTCATGGGTAATTAATCCCTCTTTGGTTAAACTAATGAAAGCAATAAGATGTAAGACTCTATTCAGAGATTTTCTTGGTCTCTGAACCTAAGCCAATCCAAAACAATGGCTGAGTTCTCCTACAGTAATATTCTTTTTAGCTACCTTACTATTTGTTTCTCCCTTAGTTTCTAACTCTTTCCATTAAAATCCTAGTAACTAAAAACACACACAGACACAGAGAGAGAAATTAGATTTTCACCATAAAAAAGAGGTGGGGCTTGGAGAAAGGGGAAGGGCAAAAAAAAATACCCTCTCATTGGCTGGTAAGAGAATCATCAAAAACTTATTTATTGACCAAAATATATTATATAGGATGGGCTTTTAGCCTAATAGCTAAGATGCCAGCATCTAATGACACCTAGCTCCAGTCCCTGACTCCAGCATCCTGATAACTCAGATCCTAGGAGACAGTGGTGATGGCTCAAGTATAGTCAGGTCCCTACTACCTATGTGGGAGTCCTGGATTGTTCCCAGCCCCTGACTTTGTCCTGACCGTTGTGGGCATTTGAGGAACGATTCAGCAAAATGGAGCATGTTCTATCTCTCTCTCTCACCCTCAAATGAATAATCATTAAAAGTATCTGTCTCAAATGATTACTGCTAAAACATTTTAATATTTTTACAAAACATATACAGACTTTGCTGAATATGAAAACCATATAGTCTCCAATCTATAACATTTTTTCCATATGAATTAATTTTCAAGCCTTTGATTGTTTATGCTGTTTTTTATGTCCTGAACCCTAATTTCAGCATCCTTTATTTATAAAGGAGGCTCGTGTTGTCTTGGAGATACCAAAAGCTGCATTTTTGAAGGTCAGTTTGTCATAGCCACAGACCAATTTCTAGGAAACCAAGTAATGGTAACTTTGACTATTCCCTCTGTAATTTTCACAGAAATTGAATTCTAGGCAAAATATCCAAAGCAAAGCAATAGGAAAGATAAAATGACTCCTGATGCAAAGAAAAAAATTAAGAATATTATGCTTATGTGTGTACAAATTGTTGCACTCTTAGTACAAAGTTGGTCTTTTGTACAAAGTTAATTGAAAATGAATTTTAATGGAGAATATGGGAAGGGGAGGGGGGTGGAGAAGAGGGAGTGGGGGTGGGAGAGTGGGAAGAATAACTGTATTCCTAATGTTATGAAATTTGTATTTCTTTTTTTTATAGTTAGTGAGAGAGAGACAGAGAGAAAGGTCTTCCTTCCATTGGTTCACCCCCCAAATAGCCACTACGACCGGCATGCTGTGCCAATCCAAAGCCAGGTGCTTCTCCTGGTCTGCCATGCAGGTGCGGGGCCCAAGCACTTGGGCCATTCTCCACTGCCCTCCCGGGCTACAGCAGAGAGCTGGACTGGAAGAGGGGCAACTGGCACTAAAACCCAGTGCCCATATGGGATGCCGGCGCCGCAGGCAGAGAATTAACCAAGTGAGCCACGGCGCCGGCCCTGAAATTTATATTTCTTAAAAAATAAATAAAACTTTATTAAAAGAATAAAATACGAGTTTGCAAAATATTTGGAGTTTGAGACTGACTTTTACCTTTCTGTTTCCTGATATAGTAGCATTCACTATATAATACAGATAATGTGAAAAATATTTGTAGGTTTTCAAACAAATCCATGCCTTAAAATGGTTTTCTTAAGAAAAATTCACTATTACAAACCACAGCAAGATATGTCTGTAAATTTATGAAGTAATATATTTTTCAGAGACTGGAATTGTTCTTTCTTACACTGTTTCCTATGTCATTTGATTAAGTTACTCTGGGAAGCGCCAACAAATGACAGAAGGGCACCGATAATACTGCCTATAATCAGAGAATAATCACAATCTAAATATTTCATAAGCAGGAAAAACGAAGGAAGGCCAAATGGAAAGAAGTCAAAACTGGTATGATCCTGGTGTAAAACAAGAAATGGGAGCTGAACCCAAAGGAGAAAAAGAAAACAGAGAGGATGAACTGGAGCAGGAGGAGGAGGAGGAAGACCCATACATCTTTGCTGAAATTAATGACTGTGAATATGACACGATCCTGGCCAATCTGAGTATAAAGAAAAGAACTGGAAGTCGGTCTTTTATTATAAACAGACCTCCTGCCCCCACACCAAGACCCACAAATATCCCTGCAAAAGAGGAAACCACACCTTACATAGCTCAAGGTAATGTGTTGTGGCGGTGGTGGTTTGTAGATTTATTTTTGCTATTTTGTGTATTGGAAGGCAGGCAGTGGTAGGTGATAGGATTAGTTCTCCAAAACTCCAAAAATTAAAATTATATTTTCAAGTCTCAGGTGATTTATATTGGTCTCTTTGTGATTTAAAAGCATAGTGAATAGAGAAATAAAAATGATGGATTGGGTCCTGATTTCTAATTCTTCTTTGAGAAGAATAATTTTAACAAAGCACCCAGGAATCATGAAACCATTGCAAATGTAGATATGTTATATTTGACATTTCCTCCATAATTCTACAACAGTTCAATTCCTATAAATTATGTGCAACACAAGAACATTTAAAATACGATTATTTGTGCATAACATTTTCCAAAGAATCCTTGCTATTGCTTAAGCATTATGTATTGAGAAATTTGTGTGTGAAAATTTAACAAGTATATATATATTATTTACTGATGTACAGTGTACTTATTTAACAGTGACCTACCACTGCTAATATTTAAGAAATAAATGAAGACACTCTAAAAATTAATAAGTGTTCTAGACAAAATAGAAAATGTAAATTGGAACAGTTATCTCCATTATAAAGCTGGGAAACAAGCTTTACTTAGATATCAGATTTTTTATCATAGTGATCTCGGCTATAATTCTTTTTTTTTACAAGGTTGCTAGATTTCAATAAATGCATTTAAAAGAGAAAATGAAAATCTCTCCATACAAGAATTTTGTTATATTCTAAAAACTTTGTAGTGGTACATCATCTTTTATACTCTGTTCCTTAAAGGGTTTCTTATGACCACAAATATTAATTCCTGTATCATATTGTGCTACTTTAAAGATTTCATCATCCCTTCTTCCCATTGGTAGTCATATTCCTATTTTCCAATATCCCTTTCTTGTTCTCTGTTCTTGTTTTACACCATTAATTGCTCTTTTTGAGGGAGGTGGCAGAGAAGAAGTAAAATTCAAATCTTTGTTTTGATTTGGGTTTTTTATAAGGTCTTATTATTTTTGTTTTTCTTCTGCCTTCATATATCATCTCATCAATCTTTGTTAGTTGTTTGCTCTGTCTGTGCTTGACATTCCCATCAAATATGGGTATTCTAAGCTATGTTTTCATGTTGAAGAATGAAACATGAAAAGCCTGAATGGAAACTCTACTTGTTAACTTGTGGACTGCTCTGTAGGGATAAATAGAGGTACCCTACTTTTTTCATTAAATGACATCATTCAGTAACTTGGCTTATGTAGCTCTATTTTCCTATGCTTTTCAGTTTTTCTAGAATAAAATCCAATTAACTCTAGTCTGCACTTACATATATATAGTGCCCAGAATGCTGAGATCACAGCATGAGACGACCTGGAAACCTACCATTCAAATGCACAGTGTAACTTGCTCTCCCTGTTTCCAGGCCACTGTGTAATTTCTGCTACCTCTGTGCCTTATGTCCCACATCCACAACTACTTCTATTCAGTTTGCCTAAGGAATAAGTCTCTCACCACAGATGTGCATCTCATCTTAGGGAACTGCGGGAGTTTGAGTCTGTACTGACTCAGACTTTCAGCCAATCCCCACATTAAGGAAGTGGATCGGGACGGATTTCCTCCTCTCTTATTTATATATTAACTAAATGAAAATATATTCATACCGATTATAAAGTCTTTCTCAGTATTAAATATGTAAATTCCATACATAGCAACCGTACAACTTGTCCTATATGTATACACATGTATAGGAATGTTAAAACGTTTTAGGAAACCTGATTTTCTGAGATATTTTGAGAGTTATATGTCTCATGTTCCATGCTAGGCCTGACACCGTCAGTATTTATAGGACATCTTTGTAGTTAAGTTATACAATCAAAGTTGTTCTTACAATATGTAAGTTACGTGGGGAGAGGAAACAGTATTAAAATAGTTTGTTTGGGTTTGCAATTAACCATATAGGACAGTTGTGTTTATTTGCCCCACGTTCCAAATCAGTAGTAAAAGCTAGGCTACAAATGATCTCTCTAAAACGTCCTCCCATTATTTCTTCCGTCCCTTTCACTCGGATATACTTATCTGCTCATTTTGTGTGCCATCGATTTTTGATCATTCCATTCTCTCAGTAGGAAGAGAGCACTTAATCAGCTAATTAATTCTTTCTTTGTTTGTTGTTCTCTGCATTTCATATGACAAAGATCTTTCATCATATAGTTCCATTTTTTCACAACCTCAAATAAATCTATTAAATAGAATTGCTACCTTTTCCCAGAAAGTCATCCATTTGATTAGAAGAAAATTAAATGCCTCAATTCTTGCCAAAGCAAAGAAGTGGTAATAGAATGTTGGCACCTCCAGGGTTAACAGAGCCAAAACAAAAGGCTGGGGAGAAAGGGATGGGAAGAATGCAGATGCAGAATCCCAGGAACCACAAGTGCTGACAGAGACTAGCTTCTGTATGGGACAGTGGGAACTGCCTTGGCAACTCCGTACAATAATTTTTATGCAATTTTTGTCACAGTTTCTCCTTCATGCAATAATCCTGCATGGCTGACATTAATATCCTAATTGTAGAGATAAGGAAGCTGATATTCAAGGAGTTTTACTCTTTTGCCCAAGATAATGAAACTAGGAAGAAGAAGAGGTAGGATTTGAGCCCAGAAGTGTTTGGCTCCCATACCTGTGCACATGACACCACAAATTTTCTTCAGTATCCTGGTTATTTCTGGATTATTCATTAATATATGTTTCCTCCTTTTAATCCATAAGATCCCTAAGAAGAGCAACCTCATCTGCATTTGTCCATCATTGTATCTCAACAGTGTGAGAAGTTCAGTGCTGAATTCATAGTGGAAACTGTGACTATATGATTAATTTTAACTGAATGAATGAATGATGCAACTCACAAGAGCCACATCATTGTCGTTATAAGAGAAGGCATCACTGACACTCTGCAGCATGGTCAGAAGAATGTCAGCCTACTACATTTGAATGAGCCCGAACAAAAGAAGGGAAAACACTAGGATAGTCACATATAAGTGAGCTTTCTAATTGCTTTCACAAAGCATTACAGTGTCCACTATCCCCTCTGCCAGTAGTGTAACTTAGTACTGCAAAACTGAACCCATGTTGACCTATGTTAGCCAAAAATATATTTCCAAGTTTATCATGTTTATATTGTACTAAACCAAATCTTATATTAACAGTCATAACAAGAATAATTTATTTTTCTTAAATAAGAAGTTTTGAACTCTGCCTATTTTTAGATGTCTTTTTTTCTCCTTGTTTTATTGGAAGGGATCAGATTCATTAAGCTTCAAGAACACAGAAGAATTAATATGGATTTGCAATTTTCTTTGGTAACAGAATTCTTTAGACAAATCAAGGAGAGAGAATCACCATTTAGGATGGTGTAGACAGACTAATCATAAAGGCATACCCATAAATCATGCAAAAAGATAAATACCTATTGGAAAGATATTTTCTACATCAATAGACAATTTTCCATTTTCCCTTCACATGATTAATAGAACAAAGATCCTTTTTCAGAGTCCATGTGGCTGATCTGGGGTAGAAATAATTTCCTTTTCAATTGCTACTGAGTTGCCCTTGGCATTTTGCTATGCAACAAAGTTGTACGTGACCTTTTGGAGAGCTACTCAGCCATTGGGACCCCAAAATGTCAAGTATAACTCAGTTGCTCTCACAAATTTTCCACTTGCAATCCACTTATATTTGAAATTGATCACATACAATGCTATTGAAATGCAAAAATGAGAAAAAGTCCTTGTAGAAATGCTTAGGAAAATTAATCCCTATCATCGTAAACATGACAAAGTAGAATGGTCTCTGTCCTCATTTGTAAAGAATTATAGTCAAGTGGATTAAAGTAGGTCTTGGATCAAGTACCTTGGGTCCCATTCTCTGGCTGGGTGAACTTGTCCAAACCATTTAGCTTCAGGGCATAGTATGTTTATCACAGGTGCTCTCAGAACAGAGGGACATGTTTACCTTTCTGTTTACAAGCCTACCATTCCTGTTGTTCCCTGTGTCTCTTGCTCTCACCTTTCCACTAGTGGGTGCTGGTGCAGCTCTGCACAGGAGCAGTTGTTCTGAGTTCCACTCAAACTGTCAACTGGAGGGGACAGAAGCTGCCTGTGTAACCCAGGTGGTTTAGTTGCCTCTTTTGCTTCTCACAGAAGATCAGAATCCCCTGGATCCTTCTGAGACTGTGAACGATACCTGAAGAGGCTGTTGCAGACCACCTAGTATGAGTGTTTTCGTAATATTGATGAACTTTTCCAGCCTCAGTTTCCAAGGATTCTCGTTCCTTTACATCCGAGAGGATAGAAGGTGGCAGTAATCAACTGTGGTGGGAGTTTGCATTGATCTGCTCATGTAATACAAATCCTTTAATGCCAACACTTAGATGTTCAATGACCTTTTCCCCCTTAACATATGATACGTCTAAACTCTTAAAAACTTCTTGAGTAAGAAGTTTAATTGACCTAGAGCAGTTCTTAATTGACATTGATTTCTCTCCAAGAAGACCTTAGGCAATGTCTAGAGACATGTTGATTGTCATAAATAGAGTATTGGTGGCATCTAGTAGTTATAGACCAGGGATGCTGCTAGACACACTGCAGAGAGCAGTGATCCTCTGTTACTTCATAGAATAGCAATATTTTCTGATCCAGGGGGAGAAAAAGGCCAGAGAAGTCACTTTTGGTCAACACTAAGCAGGACCCAAAAGGTGAACTCATCATAGAGTCCAGGGTCTTCCAGTGACTTCCTTACTACTCCAACCACTTCTCATTGAAACAAAAGGGAAATCACTTGAGCTGTTACTAATGACTATACTTATAAAATTTCATTATTGCATTCAAACTAGCAAAAAGAGAAGTCAAGCAATGAGCCAGGATGAAGTCTTACAGGAGATTAACCCTCAAGGTATAATTTCATAGAATCCCACAAACCTACTGTCCTCTTTAGTCTGTCCCAAATTACTGGATACAAAACATGTCTAGAATATGAATACTATTTGAATCAGAAAAAAAATGAAAAATTAAGCTGCCTAGGAGTAGAGAAAATATTCTATACTAAGATTGCCCAGTTTAGGAGAGGATTTTTATTGGAACACTTTGTTTTTTGTTTTTTTTTTAACTTTTATTTAATGAATATAAATTTCCAAAGTACAGCTTATGGATTACAATGGCTTCCCCCCCATAACGTCCCTCCAACCCACAACCCTCCCCTTATCCACTCCCTCTCCCCTTCCATTCACTTCAAGATTCATTTTCGATTCTTTTTATATACAGAAGATCAGTTTAGCATACATTAAGTAAAGATTTCAACAGTTTGTTCCCACACAGAAACATAAAGTGAAAAATACTGGTTGAGTACTAGTTATAGCATTAAATCTCAATGTACAGCACACTAAGGACAAAGATCCTACATGAGGAATAAGTGCACAGTGACTCCTGTTGTTGACTTAACAAATTGACACTCTCGTTTATGGCATCAGTAATCACCCTAGGCTCTTGTCATGAGCTGTCAAGGCTATATTGGAACACTTTGAACACTTAAAATCTCTTTTACAAATTGGAAAGAAAATAAATGTTTTCTTCTGAGGAAACTAAGGCATTCGTTGTTATATCTACTGAGTTAGAGTTTGTATGCCACTTTCCTTAATGCAGATTTAAGGTAACTTTCCATCTCTGCCAATCTCAAGAGCAAGCCTTAACCACATCATTGACCTCCTGTGTGCTGGCGGACCATTGACACACTCTTCCTAAAAATGAAAATGACCCGATGGCATATATCTGCCAGGCAGAAAACTATCCCAGATGAAGGACCATCCTGTAATGTGGCTAGGACTATTTGCATCCACTTCACCTTGAATGTACCTGTTCGAATGTGGTGGTCTGTATTTGATGAATTTGTTCAATGACCTGTAATTATTGCTAACACAGTGGAATGGTGATTTGAAGATGACTGGAGGGCTCCATCTCTTTTTCCATATGCAGAGATTATAGATCAATCAGTTTGCCTTTACAAGCTTAGGAAATCCTGCTCCCTGTATTTACTGGCCAAAAGAAGGGGTTGCTTAATAGTGCTTTCAGTGACTCCTTCAGCTGTTCTGTGATTATCTTTTACAGGGAGAAATTAAAGGAACAACCTAGGGAGAATCGGCTTCAAGGATTGAATTTTGACCCTTGCTCCTCCTGATTGTTTCTCACCTCTGTCTTCTCTTATCAGTGGCACTAATGATGTTTGTCCTTCATGTAAATGAATATATCAGTATTGACGGACAGTATGGAAACTGTGACTGTATCTTACTTTTTTTTTTTTTTTTCCAGGACATAGCACAGGGCTTGGCTATGTAGTTAGCAACCTAAGGGAAGGTTTCTAATGGAACAATAAGCACAGCGCTGCTGCCCCATATAGGATCCCTGAAGGCCTAGAGCACAATTCAAAATATGAGTATTTTGTTTTATGTCCAATCTGTAGTTACTGGAGTGAAAGTGATAGTTGTACAGCTCTAAACAACATTTCACTTTTCATCTCTAATGGGAATATCAAGGGGTCTCTGGTTTATAAATCACATCTTCATGAATGCTGTTAGCTATTGCACAGACTGTCATCACTTTACCCAATAACAAAATAATTCAAAATAAGATTCATCAGATTTTCTGAGAAAGGCAGCTCTGAGACACTCCCTTTGCTTGAAATAGGTCACAAATGAAGTTAGGAAGCATGTTCTTGCAGATGCAGCCTGGAAAGACAAAAAATGCAAGTGAATCTGTTGTATTTCACCTTCTCCTCCTCTATTCTTCAGCTAGTACTACTTTAAAATTTTGAATATTTAATTCTATGCCCATTTTTCCCATAAACTATTCCACCAGCATATAAAATAATGGTGGTATTTGTTGGTATATTCATATTATTTGGGATTATTTTAAACCCCAAAACTTGACTTTCTTTCCTATGAGCTTTTTTGTGTTTACAGATGATAACAACCAATAATACACTCATGTTTCTTTCATCTCAAATGTCATCTCAAATTAGATAGGAAGGAAAAAATAAGATTTCTCTGGGACTAAGAGTCAAAGTTGGCATTTGTCATAATTGCCTGGATAGCATTCTTTGAATATTGATGATGTAAAATATGGTTGAAATTATATCCTCCAAGAATTCAAATATGTATGCACAGATCATTTCAAGATATTAAAAAAAAAACTAAATTTGGTCCGTGCTATAACTTTCTATTTTTACATTCATCAAAGCCCAGATTACAAATAATTTTTTCTCATTAAATTAGGTTTTGTGTTATATTTATTTAATACTTTATTTCAGAATAATTTTAAATTTTCAAAGCAAAAATTGTGAGGTGCTAATACAAAGTTCCTACATACCCCTCACTCCATTTTCCCCTTCACAATGTCTGTAAGAAAGGACATGGAGTATTTGTCTCTTTGCGTCTGGCTTATCTCACTCAACATGATTTCTTCCTATCTGTTTTGTTGCAAATGACAAGATTTTTTTTTTTTTTTTTGGACAGGCAGATTTAGACAGTGAGAGAGACAGAGAGAAAGGTCTTCCTTTTCCATTGGTTCACCCCCAAATGGTTGCTGTGGCCTGTGCACCGCACAGATCTGAAGCCAGGAGCCAGGTGCTTCCTCCTGGTCTCCCATGCCGGTGCAGAGCCCAAGCACTTGGGCCATCCTCCACTGCCTTTCCAGGCCACAGAAGAGAGCTGGACTGCAAGAGGAGCAACCGGGACAGAATCCGGTGCCCCAACTGGGACTAGCCGGCACCGCAGGAGGAGGATTAACCAAGTGAGCCACGGCGCCGGCCAGGATTTCATTCTTTTTATAGCTGCATAATTTTCCACCACATGTATATGTGTGTGGGAACATTGGTTGATTGCAGTGCTGCTATAAACATGGTAGAGCAGGTTTATTTTTGAAGCAATGAGTTTGTGTCTTTGGGTATATACCTCATAGTGAAATTGCTGTATCATATGGTAATTCCATTTCCAGTGTCTTAAGAAATCTCTCTTTTCCAGAGTGGCTGCAATAATTTGCCTTTGCACAAATAGTGTGTCAGTGTTCCCCTTCCCCACATCCTCACCTGCATTTGTTACTGTCTTTTTGATTATAGACAATAATTAAGCAATATTTCATTATGGTTTTGTTTTGTATTTCTCAAAACATTGTCTTCTACTTAAACCCATACTCACTTAAGAATATATTCTAGCACCAATGATTCTGGACTGATCAAACAATAATTAGTAATACCTTAGAAGGTTTGAGCTGAATGAGATGTTAGGAATCATGTCACCTAAGCTCTAACTATATTGTCAGAAAAACAAAGGCCCAGAGTAAGAATGCTATGTTCCCATGTCAAGATAAAGACAAAAACGTATAATTCTTCCAAGGTGTCAAGTTGGTGAGTTTTCTGGTATACACATTTTTTTCAGTTATTCTATGTTGAAAACAGACTCTAATCCAACTCACCACAATTCTTGCTTCCCCTCCCAATAAAAATCATAAAATAGGACTTTGTGTATATAAATCAGAGTGGCCCACAATCCAACACACAGCTGTTACTCCCCCATAGATTTTATATTTACTTCCTATGAAGGTAATATGGGATGATTACTTATGGCAAATAAAGGAGATGAAGATTTTTACACAAAAGTTTTTATGGTTCAGCTAATATTTACCATAAAAAAGAAAGATTAACAAATGCTAAAATTTTATATCTATTCTTTTCTTAAGGGTCATGGAGAATGTGTTCTTGATCTGTAGATTTGCCTCACTGATAGTTTTGATGAGCTTGCTGTTCCCTCAGGAAACAAGTTCAAATAGGTCTTTTTCCAACATGACTTAATATTTTTAAATATGACCTAACTGCATGATGGAAAGACTGCATTTGGCAATCTGCTGTTGCTAATTGAGTGTCTGTTAGGAGGCAAGGCTCATCAGTAGGTAGAAGAAAAAACTGAAGGTGAATCAGGAGGAACTCTACCTTGGATTAAACAGGAAATTTGCATCCTGGGAGCATGACCTGCTGCACATCTTTGAAAGAGTTCTGTTATCAGCCTTTTCCGCATTTGCCTCCCAACAGCATCCTTCTCTCCCAATCCAATCCTCCAACCCTGGCCCTTACTATTCTAAGGACAAATGCTGGTGAAGTCTCAACCTACTTGTAACTTCTTAATCCAGTAATTAAAATGGATCAGTTATTTAACATTTACTGTATTTCACATAGGGTGACCACAGGTTATCAGCAGAATGTATTCCAGCAAAATATATAAATATAGAAATTAATGCCAAAAGGCTGAAAAAACAATTCCATTTTCAAGTACTCTGTAGCTTCCAACTTCAGCAGAAATTTTACTGTTTGAATTGATCTTTTGGTTCAGGTCCCTGTTCATATTAATGATGTCAGACCACAGCATTTTAGTCTTAGAAATTGTTATATTTTAACAATATCAGGGAAAAAATAGCACAAAGACTTTGAATGTTATTAAAATTTCAAAAGTATTGTAATTTTGAGAATTTTTAGAGTTGACAATGGAAAAATAGTCAAGCACCACTTATAAAACTACTTCTAATACTCTCAAATATATTTGCACGCCATATATCCCTCAATGTTTTACTGTAGGAAAAAATGTAAACCACAAATCCAGAACTTGCCAGTTAGTTATATTTAGTATGTTTCCCAACTACTAAATTGATTCCGAAACCTGATTTTCAACTATAACTTATTTCATATGTATAAATTTTTCTCAAATGCATCATAACTTGAAAATATATTTTCATCTCCTGAGGATAGTAGAGAGAGGTACCATTTCTCTTCACAGCATCTGGCAAACTATATATGCTTACTAAGTAATTCCTGATTTAATATTATTTGGGGCACTTCTTTTAAAGCCCAGAAAGTGCCTTTTGGATTAATCAGATCTATACTCTTGATAGTAGGTTGGTTTAAAGAATATTAAACCAAAGAGATCCAAGGTAACTGTTGGGATGTTTCTCCCAATGAAAGTGTTCAACCTGGCCTTTGTTGGCTGTGGCTCAGCCGGTTAAGATACCACCTGCAGTTCTGGCATCCCATATGGCCACCAGTTCAAGTCCTGACTGCTCTACTTCTGAGCCAGCTCCCTGATAGTGGCCTGGGAAAGCAGCAGAATATAACCCAAGTACTTGGGCTCCTGCACCCAAATGGGAGACCTAGAAGAAGCTCCTGGCTCCTGGCTTCAGCTTGGCCCAGTTTTGGCTGTTGCAGCCATTTGTGGAGTGAATCAGCAGATGGAAGATCTCTCGCTAACTTTGACTTTCAAATAAATTAATTAAATCTTTAAAAAACATAAAAATGAATGTGGTCAAGCACCATCCACTTGCCTCAGGTGGATTTCCCTAGGAAACAAGAGATGGTGGAAAAGGCATCAGAGTCTTCTTATCTGCCCTTCTGTCTCCTTTGGCTTTCAAAGAGAAAGACACCAGCGCTGTAAGGAGCCAAGCATTAGATTGAAGTTCAGTGCTGGAGGGTCTAAATCACATCTCTACCAACAGCTCTGCTCTGGAATCCTTGCAAAATTACTTAGCCCTTTCATAAGCTAGTTACGTCTACCTCCCTCATCTGTAAACATATGAGGTTGGACTAAATCTCCCTCGCCTCTTCCAGTTCCCAAACCCTGTAATTCACACTGCCTATAAAAAATAAATGTAACTCTGAATGTTCACTTTCTAAAGTAAAGTTGTAAAGGGCCTGGACTTTTCCATTACAAACGCCAGAAGCTATATGGATCTTTGTGGGTGCTCAATAAATATTAAACAATCAATTTTATCTTTCATCTGCAAAATGGGGTGAGTAATGCTGACTTGTCTCCCAGAATTTCGTGTGAGAAATAACAAATGAGAACAAAGCACTTTTCAGATAATGAAGTAATTCGAATAAGCTGCTTTAATAGGTCTGAGGTCTGGATAGATGATGCAAGAATAAAGTGTCTTTTTTATTATTACATCTGTGAAATACAACAGTCTTTTCATCTGTTTAAGAAGAAACAGTCATTACCCTTGCTTATCGCCAGAAAGTCAGCTTGAGTAATTCCTGTGCAAATGGAACTTTTCATGTGATTTTAACATTTATCAGTTTTAACAAAATGCAGCTTTTAAATCTTTACCTGATATCAAAATGGAATCATATCTTGATTTAACTAGCTTAATGAGCCATTCCATCAGCATTATACTATTCTATTCAAAGAAAATGGTTTCTGAAATGACTGATAAGCTGCACAAATGAGAAAATTGCAAATTTAATAATCCTCCTCCTCAAAAATAATACAATTCAAGAGTTTTTACTAAGGAAAATGATATATTACATTCTAGCTTCCTGCAGACTTGCACAGTATGCTGCTGCTTTTAATGTTTATGCACAGTAAATAACATGCCTCTCTATATTTTTTGTAGTATTCCAACAAAAGACAGCCAGAAGACAATCAGAAGGTGACAAGCTCCATGGTCCTCCTAAGAAACAAGGTACTGGCACTAACTTGCATCTGTTTAATAATTTCTAAACAAGGTTTAGAAAAATATTGCAAATACTGAATAAAGCCTCACAGGACAAAGTAAATAACTGCATGTTTGATTAATTTTACTCTTAAGTTATCTCACCCAAATCAAATTTTGACATAATAAAATCAATGCATGAAACTATTTCAATTCACAAAGGCAGGAAATGGCCCTGAGATAATATTTGTGATAATGTTGTAGATGTCGTTATCAGGTCTCCAGGAAGGTCAAATAAGATAAATTCTCCAACAGGCATCAGAGGCCACATTTTCATGTACCTGTACAGGGAAGTTTCTGGAAGTTAGCTTAGTGGGAGGGGCAGGTGATTGATTGCCCAAAGGAAACTAGCATGGCTTTTCTCTTGTCTGCACTGAATGCCAATCAAAAGTTGTACCCTTGTCCCACTGTTCTCTAGCCTTTGGCACTTGACCTGATACTTTTCAAGCAATTACTTTTTATGCTTAAAGAGCTGAACACTATAGCCACAGAATTATCTCGCACAGGTATCAGATTTTTTGCCTCCATTTCTTCCCTGAAACATATGTCTCTTAGTGAAAAAAACAGACTATCAAGTTACTCACCACGCTGATTTTCTGATAGTCACGCCTGGCTTAATGTTCAAATATGAAAAAAGTAAAAGGTGGTAGAGTCAGTAGGTAATATTAGCTAGCTCTGATAATTAATGAGCATATAAAGACCCAGCTCTGAAACTACTTCAGTCCAAAAATCACACCACTTTGGAAATGGTGCCAGGAAATTTTTGAGGGAAACATTAAAATAAAACAAGGAAAGTATTACACAGCAAAGTCTAAGCATTGCTACTGTCAGTTTCCTTTTGTGCCGTTGTGGAGATGGCTAGATGTGATGGATGGCACCAACTCCTAACACCCAATGAACTATTAAATACAGCAGCTCAGTGGATCTGCTCCTGAGATGCTGTCTCCTTGTCCAAAGCTATGTCCTTAGATGAGTGAACTTCACCCATCACTAATGCAGCATTTCCTATGGCAGCAAGGTTGTACTTAGATCATTTTTCCAATTAGGAACATGGATGGTATTTGAATGCAACAAATGATAAAGTTGAACTTCTGCTCTTCCATGAAGCACTTGGGTATAGTGCTTGTAAATTTACATGCCAAAAAAATCATGCTTTTTACTTGACAGTTTTCCATTTTTAGTGCTTTTGTATTTTAAGGGGAAGATAGATCTTTTTAAAGTCAACTCTTATCCTCCCACTATGCCTTTAGCTCACTCAAGACATAAATGCAAAGCTCCATGTGCGATCCTTGTACAGTTAGGATCAGAACAGTTCCTAAAGAATTAAAGTAGATAACATTATTCCTATAAGGACTCCTCTATATTACTCACACAGCTTTGGAAAGAATGAAGAGTGGAGATGTTTTGAGCTCTTTGGGAGAAAATTTCCCTGCAGCATTTTTCTCCTAGGTTATTCAAATATCATATCTCTAATTAAATTTTGTTGGAATTAAGGGAAAAAATGGAGACAAGACCACAGGAGAAGAAGAAGGTGACAAGTACCAAGGGTAACTGAGAGACCTTGGAATGCTGGGCTGTCAGTTGTCCTTTTGACTGGGCCACAGACAGCAACATAAGGAAAGCTTCAAACAACCCCAATATTACTCTGTCTTATGTATGGAAGGACAGAGTAATATCCATATCTACCCAGAAAAAAAAGAGGAAGAATGGCAAAAGGAAACAAGACAATTATACAAAATTGTGTTGGCTTAAAATCTGTCTATATCCTGTTACTTAATTTGTTTCATCAGGTAATTATTACTAGATTTTTGAAAGTCTTTGGTACAATATGCTTAACTTTTTAAGATTTTTTTTATTTAAAAGGCAGAATGAGAAAGGAGGAGGGAGAAAACTAATCTTCCATCTGCTGGTTCACTCCCCAGGTGGCTGAAATGGTCAAGATTGCCCAGGCCAAAGTCAGAAATCTGGAACTTCATCCAGGTTTTCTACCTGTGTACAGGGGCCCAAGCACTTGGGACAACTTCTGCTGCACATTTGCAGGGAACTGGATTGGAGGTGGAGTAGCCAGGACTCAAACCAGCTCTCAGATATGGCATGCTGGCATTGCAATCAGAGCTTAAGCCACTGTCCCACAATGCCAGCTACTACATGAAGTTTTAATCACATTCTATTGGAAATTTTTTTTCTGTGTATTCTTAATCTAGTTTATTGATGACATCTTTGATTGTTCACCTTACAGAAGTTTCCCTTGGTTCCTTGAACCCTGGACATTAATAACCTACCAGGATAAAACTGAATATTGTTCTATTTGCAAGAATTAGGGGAACATCAAACCTTATGAAATGTTTTTTAACTAAAATCTAGCAGAAGAAAAAAATACACTAATTGGAAAGAATTGGGAATAAAAATAATTAAATGTATAAATACTTTAAAGGCTTAATCCATCCAACCATATTTCTTTAAACAGTTTCAGATATTATGACTCTCCAGTCCCTGGAACATACAAGGCAATCAAAGCTGCATAATATTGAATTGGGGCTGATATTGCAGCACGGTGTGTTAAGCTGCTGCTTGGGATACCAGCATTCCACATCTGAATGCTATTTTGAGTCCCGGCTGCTCCACTTTTGATCCAGCTTCCTGTTTATGTACCTGGAAAGGCAAGGGAGGATAGCCCAAATACCTGGATCCTCTCACTGATCTGGAAGACCTGGCTGGTGTTCTGAGCACCTGGGTTTGGGAGGACTCAGCCCCAGATGTTGTCGGCACTTGGGAAGTGAAAGAAAGGAAGAAAGACCTCTGTCTAGCTCTTTCTACCACCCCCTCACACACACACACACATATACACACACTCACTCACTCACTCTTTCTCCCTTTCCCTTTCTTTCTAACCCTCTCTCATTCTGCCTTTCAAATGAATAAAGAAATCTTTATAAAAGCAAAAAAAAAAAATACTGAATTAATGGATCCTCTCAGACACCCTAGTGTTTCATGGTATAATAAGGAAAGACACTGATGGTGTCTTTGTTAGGTAGAAAACAGCAATTAAAAGGACTTTGATGAAATATGTGTCAGAGTCAACATGTTCTAGAGGGACAGGACAATTTCTCTAAAGAAGGTTAAGGAAATTATCAAATTCTTTGACTATATGCTGGAAAGAAAAGATATTATGAAATCCAACTATTTTACCATGGAAAATATAGGTATTTCAGGTGCCTTAAGTTTCGGACTGCCAAGAGAGGGCCAGGAAATTTCATTACTGCCACATCAAGGAATTTTCCTTAGGAAAAGAGAAAAAAATTAATTGGCACCATTTTCATGGAAATTCAACAGATTTCTTCAACTCAATTTTTACATCTTGAAAAAAATATGAGGAAATTGCTGAGGCCTTTGAATCGCAGATAACATTTTCCATCAAAATACAATTTTCAAATCAATTTTCCCAAGTTAATTTTGAACTTAGAAAATGTCAGAGAGCTGTCAGAGGTGGAATTTATTGCCACTGCACCTTCACACCCCCTTCCCAAAACGATCTTCACAAGGCAGTCATGGGCTTGTTCTTCAACATTAAAAGTCAAAAAAAAAAAAAAAAAAACAAAACTCAGTTTTTGACAGGGTGTTTGGAAGTGATCAGGGATTGGCAGACTGAGTTATGTTAGCCAAGTTCACAGAGGACTGATTTATAACCCCCAATTCCAATCTATTAAACCCAAAAGAGGAGAGGATTTCTTCTCAGGGAGTAGAATGCTTGCATTCATGTGGACCTTGCTGACTAATGAAGTTTTTATAAAATGTAATTAGTAATTAGAAGCCCACTAGTGAATATGCTCAAGTCAAAGAGTGCTGGTGGAATGAAAGGACACTGTCTACCAGGACATGGAACTGCCTGGCTGATTGTCCCTGCCTCACAAGAGCATATCACGGTCTCACAGCAACATTGCCCAGTGTCCCAATCCGTTATTTCTTTCTGCCTCCCTTTTCTTTTCTTTTTTTTTTTTTGGGGGGGGGGGGGGCGGCGGCAGTATTTCAGCAGGGCTTTTCCTATCCACGCTATCATCACCATTTTACTAACACAGTGTTGTTGAGGTATGACACAGGGCAACTGACAATGCACAAGCATTCTTTACACTGCCACCCTGTGTTTGTGGATCCGGTCCACAAGTCTCCTCAGCCACGCACTTGAGCAATGAACCTCATCCAGGATGTGTTATTGCTCTCAGGCATGGAGGACAAATCATTTCTTTGAGGAGTGGGGTTAGGTGAGCAGGAGGAGCATGCCTACCCTGACTTAGGACCTACACCAGTTATCACCCATCTCTGGATGAGCACAAGAATTATTAGTAGACCTAAAATTGAGCTACCTAAGCCTTACCTGAGACACAGAATAATAGCAGAACAGATGAGAATAGTCTCATCTCCTTAATCTCTAAACCAGTACAGAAGAAACAAAATCCTGGCACAGCAGGTGAAGCCCCTGCTGGAACACTGGCATCCATCAATACCAGAGTGCCAGTTTGAGGCATGGCTGCACAATTTTATTCTTTTTTTTCTTTTATTTAGAAAGAGTTACTGAGAGGGAGGGAGGGAGGGAGGGAGAGACTTCCATCCACTGGTTTATTCCCCAGATGGCCATAGCCAGGAGCTTCATCTGGGTCCCTCTTATGCTGCTTTTCCCAGACAATTAACAGGGATCTGGACTGTAAGTGGAGCAGCCAATAAGCGAACTGACACCCAGTTCGGATGGCAGCATCACAGTCTGTGCTTTATGCTGCACCACAGTGCCAGCCCCTAGCAGCCCCACTTTCAATCCAGCTCTCTGCTAATGGGCCTGGGAAGGCAGTGGAAGATGGACCAAGTGCTTGGCCCATGCCACCCTTGGTGGAGGCCAAGATGGAGTTCCTGGCTCCTGATTTCATTTTCTCTCTCTCTCTCTCACTCACACACACACACACTCTTTCAAATAAATAAATAAGTCTTTAAAAAATCCCACCAAAAGAAACTATGTTTGAGAAGCCACATTGTTGTCAAACTTAGCCTCTAAATATGTTGTATTGCAAAAATAAGCTAAACAAAATAATATTTGGTGGCATTTGGTGGCATTTGTTTCCTGTCAAAATTCCAATTTCCAGCCACTCCCTGTTATATAAATATATCATTTGCCACAAATGGCTTTTGCTATTATAATTCTTTTCACATTGTTTCCCTCTATATGAGACACATTTCTCTGAAGTCATGATCTATAAAATATCTTGAAAGTCATGTTATCATGAAAAGTGAAAGAGCATGTGCACTTGTGAAGACCACGCTAATGTATTTAAAACTCAGGCACCAAATGTTATTTGCTCAGAAATTTTATCTGCCTGAGCCCCAAAGGCTTGAGTTGGCAACCCCTGATTTAGTCTCTCCCGCTAATTCTTCATTCCAGACTACAAAATCATTATTGGCTGGTCTGTTTTTTCAGAGATGGGGTGGAAGAGAAATGTTTGCCTACCCATGGGAAAAGATATAACCAAGGAATGTATCTTTTATGTGAACTCTAAGTGCCAAGGGCTATAGCACTTTGATAAATGTTGAGTTATAAAATTATCTATAAGCAGGAGACTTGGGGGACATGGAAGGTATTACCTTACGTGGGGAAAAGAAAATGCTGATCTGAGTATTTTCATCAAGATATTTTTGCCAGTACTGACTATATTAAATAGAAAAAGAGAAAATTGTGTGTGGTCATTTGTATACAGAATAATGGCCTCAGTTCCCTTTTCCATTATAGCATTCATTACCTTTTGTCATATTCCTGAAAAATATTTTTGTCACAGGTATACCTGTGACAATTTGTATAATAGCTGAGTTCTTGGGGCCGGCATCGTGGCATAGTGGGTAAAGCCACCACCTGTGATGTCAGTATCCCAGTATCTGGAACTGGGTGCCCGTTCCAGACCCTGCTGCTCCACTTCCAATCCAGCTTCTTGCTAATGTACCTAGGAAAGCAGCAGAAGATGGCCCAAGTGCTTGGGCCCCATCCATCCACATGGGAGACCTGGAAGAAGCTCCTGGCTCTTGGCTTCATAATGGCCCAGCTCTGGCTAATGTAGCCATTTAGGGAATGAACCAGCAGATAGAAGATTCTCTCCCTCTTCCTCTCCCTCTCCCACTCTGCCTTTCAAATAAATAAGTAAATCTTAAAGAAATAAAAATAGCTGAGTTTCTTGCCTAAAATGGCAAAAGATTAGCAATCCACAGTATGGCCTCTCTCAGACATGACGGCAAAGGAAAAACCCTTAATAATAGTGAAAGGGCTGGGAAACAGGCTTGCTGGAATCTAGAACTAACTCCAGGTAATGCCAAGGTTGAAAAAAAATGATGGTTAAGACAAAAGAAAAAACTGCATTTTCTGCCCCTTACTGCTATGCAACAAAGCAGCCCTTCGTTTGTCAAAGCTGCCAGTGCTTTCCTGGCTCACTGACCCCCAGCTTTGTTTCCGCTAGACAGGTGCTGATTTTTAAGTATTGTACTCCCCAACTCTGGTCTGCCTATACAGAAGAAAAAAGTAATCGCTCCCATAGAAAGTGAGTAGGCGGCCAATGATATTATTTCATTTTCCTGGTCCTGGAAACGTACCTGAAGTGCGGTGATGAAAGTGGGGTAGTCAAGAAGAATCCTAATGGTGATTTTTTCAGGGACTTAGGTACACGGTGTCAGGGCATCAGTCTCAACTCTGTGTGGCGAAGCTGAAATGAAACAGAAGCCTGCTGCCTCTGGGTCCTTGAGTTGTATACTGCACCTCTCAAAGTCCTTTGTGGTCCAGGGACTGAGAACAAAGTTTGACCTGAACATGAGGAAGGGAGCCAAAGGACAAATAAACACCAAATGCCTTGGGGACAAAGCTTCTGTGCTGTGCATTCTTTGAAGCAGGATTGAAGAGAACAGAGAATGTAAGAACTTCAAAAATTGAAGAGATGGACATTTGGAAGAGATGGAGATTTTCATCATGAAGACGGAGGATAATTCTACTTCTATAAATTATTTATTTATTTAATGAGAAAGGTTGTCAGAGATCGTCCCAAGTGTACCAAGCTACTTCCATTAAGATAATGGGAAATAGACACACACACACACACACACACACACACAGAGAGAACTTTTCAACAATTTATAATCATTTAAATCTGAATTTTTTATAAGTATTTAACTTTTTACAAAATTTTCCAAAGCAGTAATTATAAAGAAGTATGGGAATTATCATTCACCAGTGTCAAAGCATTCAACCTTCATACCCAGTGACAAACAGAAGCCAACAAAATGAAAATTTCAGAAAATTGGGAGCTCAAACAAACTGAAAACGTAATAAAAAGCAGCAGAAAGTCGGGAGTCAAAGCAAATTCAGGCTGAGGTGAAAGTAAATGGACTGAGAGATAGTTTGGGTAAGATGATGAGATTAATTGTGACATGAAGAAAAAGGAGTGAATGGCAAGACAAAGTATAGTAAAAAATAAAATAGAAGACTAAAATTTCGATAAACAAATGAAAATCCATTTTGGTCACAACAGAAAGAGCTGTTAATAGTAAAATCAAAAAAGTAAAGTAGAAAACATACCAGAGAAGGGTTTGTCTTCACCACATGGAAAGACTGAAAACAAGAAAAAGATGGAGAACACAGTTCCAACTCATGTGTGATAGATGTTTAAAAATAGAATAGAAAATTCAATGAATGACCTAGTTAAACAAAGCTTTGAAGAACAGGGAAATGAAATATGCAGATTGAATATGTGAATTATGTGACCCAGGAAAAAGTAAGCAAAGCTACCCATGATTAAAAGCACCATAGCAAATCTTTTTAATTATATGGATGAAGAAACCATCCTAACCTACTGAAGCAATATTTTAACTTAGATGTTTGAATAAAATGTATCAAAATCAGCTTCAAAAAGAAGATATCTGGGCAACAAAAAAAATGAGATAATGGACTACAGTGTTTGGGAAGAGATCACAGCTTAAGAAGTTTATATTTTATCAGGTATTCTGTTCATGTAATATGAGAGAAGTGTTAAAAAATTTATAGGAGGCCATTTTTTGGACTGAGTTCTTATACTAGGCTTCAACAGACCAGACCAAGCCAAAATGGAGTCATTCATATTAAATGCCACATAATCAAACTAAAATTGTACAGAAGCAGACAGACCCCAAAACCCAGTAAGTTTTCTTAAAAATAGGAGATTTCAGTCCACCTGCATCAAAATAACGAGGAAGTCTCCTCTGCTTTAAACTTTATAAAGAAGTAACAAAAAGTAATCTATATTTTTCTATTATAATAAAAACTAATTAGATCTGTAACTAAACTTGTTTTCATTTTGAATACTGATAGAATAAGCCAAATAAAATGGTATTTAATATCCAACATTTTAGAAAAGATAATACTCCTATGTCATCATGAAAGCACTACCCAAAATATATTCTAACCTAATAGGAAATTAAATAAAAAGCTTAAAAGGAAGTAGTATTAAAATTTTGTAGAATAATAAATCCAGTTAAACTTGGAAATAAAGTTCAATAGTTTTTATACATTTCTATATAAAACAGGTGATGTATATATTGGTAAAAATGTGTAATATTACCAATCATAAGTTTATGGCAATAGTCTAGGTGTAGTGACTAAACACTATAAAGCTAGCTAGGAAATAGAATAAAAACATGTTTTTTCAGTCACGATTTATTAACCAAAAAAATCTCTGAAATTAAAAAAAAAAAAAACATTATTTAACTGCTATGGCTTTCTGGGAGGATTTTCCTTGAGATAATTTCTCTGCAAGTAAAAAATGCAGCTTCACAGGTGACTTGAAATAAACATGAATTTGCACTCAGGTAAAGGGCTGAAGGAAGTGAGGTGGCAGTTAGGTGGCAGAGCTGTTGAATGGTGATGCTGAAGTGCCAGGCCCTTTCAGCCATGGCACATGAATCCTCCTGGGAAATGCCTTTCACAAGTGAGTAGAAAACGTGCATGTTATAAGAGGCAAGACTGAAACTGTTGTCTGTGCTGGTTGCTGCTGACTCAGTTAGCCTGCTGGCTGACTTGGGCTTCTCCCAGTCTCCTGGGATTTCATACTCCCTCATCCCTGAGGGAACATTCAGAGTGCAGGCTCTGTTGACATCTTGTTAGTTCTGGGGGAATACACTTCTGAAGAGAAAAGACAAGGCAAGAAAGCCCTGTGGGAATCAGCAGGATTCGACAAGGAGAATCTGTATGTGCACAGGAATTTTTATCAGATGGGAACTCTTCCCCTGCCCCTGTTGGAAAATTCATTTTTAGAGTCCTTCTCAAAATTGAAAGGGACATTAGAGGTCAATCCAGAAGAGCCCCAAGCTCAAGTCCCTGTCAGATAATGACCATGTTAGGAAGTATTTGAAATTTCTTTATTCCAGAATAACCCATCCTAATTCCATCAATGAATCTGTATTACGATAGAATTGGAAGGTCTCTCCATTTCCCAAGTCCTTGTCTATATTTTCTAAATGCAGTCTATCTATCCTTTTCTTGAAGAAGATATCCCCATAATGAGCAGATTTCTCCACACCAGCCCTGTGGCATGGAGCTGAGCAGGACAAGCTGCTCTCTCCTTCTACACTGCGCAGGTGTTTAAAGTTCACTGTGCATGAATGCACAGGCTGCTGCTCAATCACCTCACACCTCTTGAGGTGATACACTGAGTATGCCAGACTTACCGGAAAATCATATACTGGTAGTGTGTATCTGTGTGTCTGTCTATATCTATATTGGGAAAGGGAGATACATATGTCTATAATATCGATATCTATAAGTATGAACTCAAATGAGCTTGGTAGCCAGGCACATAGAACAAATGTTTTGCCTTCCAGTGACTATAAGAAGTAGACAGGGGCGGTGCCGTGGCTCACTTGGTTGGTCCTCTGCCTGCGCGCCTGCATTTCATGTGGGTGCCGGTTCTGGTCCTGGTTGCTCCTCTTCCAGTCCAGCTCTCTGACGTCGCCTGGGAAGGCAATGGAGGATGGCCCGGGTGCTTGGGCCCCTGCACCCGCATGGGAGACCAGGGGGAGGCACCTGGCTCCTGGCTTCAGATCGGTGCAGCGCCGGCCGTGGTGGCCATTTGGGGAGTGAACCAGGGGAGGGGGGACCTTTCTCTCTGTCTCTCTCTCTGTCTGTAACTCTACCTGTCAAATATAAATTTAAAAAAACAGTGGACAGGGATTTGGGTAACCTGGAGAGTTGATGCCATCTCTAAAAGCATGCAGGCCCATTGATGTCATTAAACACCATCATGGACAAATGAAATGCTGAGCTTGCCCATGGTCTGCCAATTTGCTACCTCTGCCTCAGGCCAATCTCTGATTCTGTGTTAGCAGTGCCATGTGGGAAACCAGACCATCTAATATTTATTACATTAAGCTAATGCTATGTGGCATGCTTCAAAATAAACTCGTTGGAAAAGGAATCATTTCACTACAAAATGACCGAATATTGATTTAAAATTTCCCATGAATAAATTTTCAAATGATCCCAACCCTCTTGTGACATGAAGGTGCTGGTTGAGATCTCTTTTTATTCATATTCTATAAATATTTACTATTAATAAAACTAATATCTAGCTTATGGTGTGGCAGCAACTAGGCAAATGCTTTCTGCACATTATTTCTTTTAATTCTCACACACACAAAAACCTTTGAAACTGGTACTTTTTGCAGTGAGCACAGTGCAGGCCATTTGCTTCCTCAACCCTGTAGGTATCTAGTGACAGGACACATTCTTTTGCCCAGAACACGGGTGTGAAGCGCCATTGTCTCCAGAAGTAAGATCACTAAAAATTATGGATTTTTTCTGTAACTGCTCATTCTCAGTTAAGAAGAAGAAATTCCAAATGCCAATTTTTCAGATTGCCTTTTCTCCCAGTGGTCCGTATGGTGCCTTCCTGTTAAGAAACTCAACCTTCATATTGCAGACAGAGCTCGAATGGAGAGTCCAGCCTTTGCTACCCTCAGTGACTGTCTGGCTGCTGAGCAGGAAGAACTCATCATCCTGCAGGAAAAAGTCAAAAATGGGAAAATGTCTGTGGATGAAGCCTTGGAGAAGTTTAAACACTGGCAGATAGGAAAGAGTGGCCTGGAAATGATCCAGCAGGTAAGACTGACCCCAACTGCTTCTAGAAAGTTCCCTCATTCGTGGAGCTCCTAGATCCTCTGCAAATGTTTAGTCATCACAAGAAATATCAAATGACTGTTCTTTTATGTTTAACTAGCAACTAAACTGTTTAATCAATGAAAAGCTTACACACAAGGCCAGTGTTGTGTGAAAGCGAGTTAAGCAGTTCCTTGTGACTTTCCCATGCCGTACTGGCTCAAGTCCTGGCTGCTCCACTTTCAAACCAGCTCCCTGCCATTGCACCTGAAGATGGCCTAAGTACGTGGGTCCCTGCCACCCACACTGGAGACCAGGACAAAGTTCTAGGTTACTGCCTTGGGCAGTGAAATAGTGGATGGAAGATCTCTCACTCCACCTCTCTCTCCATCAATACTGCCTTTTAGGTGAAAAGGTAGGTAGGAAGGGAGGTAGGTAGGTAGGTTGGTAGAAAGATAGACAAAGTATTTTTAGAAAGCTTACACATATCCAGGTACCAGGTTTGCCAGCCGCTGGTAAACTCAGTCTTGGACCACAGTGTATCAAAGCTGGTGTTTCTTCAGCTTATAACAGCATTCATTAGCAGTGAGTGTTTTTTGCAACTCACTGCTGAACTTAAGGTGAAGCACCTAAGGTGTTCAGCCTTCTGAGGTGGATTATATAGAGTAGGCTAATGGTTAACAAGAAAGTGATTGAACTCACAGCAACCAACAGTCTTAAATGAACTGTAGTAAGTCTTATCTTCTTTCTTTCTTTCTTTCTTTCTTTCTTTCTTTTTTTTTTTTTTTTTTGACAGGCAGAGTGGACAGTGAGAGAGATGAGAGAGATAGAGGAGATAGAGAGAAAGGTCTTCCTTTGCCGCTGGTTCACCCTCCAATGGCCGCCGCAGCCTGCGCACTGCGGCCGGCGCACCGCGCTGATCCGATGGCAAAAGCCAGGTGCTTCTCCTGGTCTCCCATGGGTGCAGGGCCCAAGCACCTGGGCCTTCCTCCACTGCACTCCCTGGCCACAGCAGAGAGCTGGCCTGGAAGAGGGGCAACCGGGACAGAATCCGGCGCCCCAACTGGGACTAGAACCCGGTGTGCCGGCGCCACAAGGTGGAGGATTAGCCTAGTGAGCCGTGGCGCCAGCCATCTTCTTTCTTCTTAACTGCTGTACGTGTTTGTGTGTGCATCACAGAGTTTGTAGAGAAATGCCAAGAAGATTAATTTCAAATTTGTCTGTCTTCTATACATATCATCTACATCCTGTGAGGAGCTTGAAGTTGGTGGTTCTGAGATAACGATTAAAATAATATCTGCCTGCATGTACCCTTTGGCATTCCTCAATAAAGCATATCTGGACCATAGTCTGTCTATCTCACAGGCCATCCCTTTACCAAAATATACCAACCTTTTTTTTATCATCATCAAAGAAAGTCCCTTTGCTACAGATCCCAGTTCTCAGGTAGTTGTTTGATTAAACACACTTAATAAGTTAATTTAGGCCAAGATATAAATAACTTAATTTAGGCCAAAGTATAAATGCTTAACACTAGCTAAATATGCTACCTTTCCCAAGAGATAATTTATTTAAAACATAATGCTTAGTAAATATGTTTAAACAGTAGAACTATGAATCACAATGATGAAATTTCAAAGACAGCATGTGAAGAGACAGTTTAGGCAAGCATACTCAGTACATCTGTGAGTACCTTGTGGTTCTGGTTCTGAGTTGGTGGCTGGAACCACTGCAGATTTTACAGTGCTAAGCAAGGGCATTTTTTTTTTTGCAAAAAAAAATCTAGAATAATACTAAGCATTGGATCCTGCAACTGTTTATTGTTCACAAAATTATAACATTGCTTCTCAGTCCCTGCCAATGTCATCACTACCACATACCCTGTAACCCTGAAATAGGGTAAAATGTACTTAAATGTACGCTTGCAAATCACTTTCCTGGCATTGCTGGATTACACAGGGTTTATTGAAGAGAATCAACTGTACTTTCTCTCAGATTCTTAAATTATGAAGTTTTCAATTTAGAGTAATACAACCTAAAGGTCTTTCTGGAAATGATTTTACTGCTTGTTTCTTTAAACCCTTGGTTATTTCAATTTGTATATTTTCATTCAGTCTTGTTTTAGGAAGAATTTAAGGTGGTCCATACCCACCACATGCAGACTGATCCCTTATTACACAGGGACAATGTAGTAATGTGTATTTTAGTGTTTATGCAAAAATAACATTTTGTCTTTAACCTGTAAATTTTGCAAACCACATGATGAGAATAATTCTATATACAAGAACCAAAAGTTTAGTGACTCTGGCTGACTGTCATTAGAGTAATCAGTCAGTCCTTAACCCAGGGGCTTGAACAAAAGATCAAACAACAGAAACAAAAATTATTCTCTCCATCTCCCAACATGTATGCTCCCATGTATTTTTCAATAGTCCTTTTGTAGTTTGCAAAATTCTTATTTGTACCCTGGGAGTGAATCTATCAGATAACAGTGAAGCTTTTATATATATATATATATATATATATATATATATATGTGTGTGTGTGTGTGTGTGTATATATATGTATATATATATGTGTGTATATATATATATATAGTTTTATTTGAAAGTCAGGAAGACAGAGAAAGAGGTCATATTCTGTCTACTGGTTCAGCTCAAAATATTGGTAACCTACCCAGGCCTGGTTCAGGTGGAAGCCAGGAGCCCAGAACTCAATGCAGGTCTCCCATGTGGGTAGCAGGGACCCAAGTACTTGAGCCATCGCTGCTGCCTTCCAGGGTGCACATTAAGCAGGAAGCTTTATCAGAAGTGAAGCTGGGACTCCACCCAGGCGCTCAAGCATCCCAAGCAATATCCTAACTGCTACTGCAAATACTTGCCCCTGGTTATATTTTTATTGATAGGGAAATTGTCCTAGAGAACTAAGAGGAAAATGGCACAAACTCTGAGTTCATGGCACAATAATAAAGATTCCTGTAGAATCCCTGGCCTGAAGATGAGAAGGTAGAGAAAGGGAAAACCTTGCCTTTCACAGTCATCCCCAAGCACAGTCTCAAGAGTGCCTGAGGAGGAGCCCAGCTCCATGGAAGGAGAAGACCTGAGAGGCAGAGGTAACAAAGACACAGAAAAAGTGGTGTCCAGGGAAGCTCCGTGGAAAAGCGCTACTCTTAGGTTGTTTGATATGCAGGAATTTTTTTTATGTAAGCTTTCTTTACTTTTTGGTCAAAAGATGCTTCATGTAGAATATTTGGCAAAGAAAGATCACAAATGTGCTAAGCAGGGGGATCTAAATATGTGTCATCTGCTCCCAATTCCCAGTGCTTGGAACACCAGCAAGGAATGTGCCCACACGGGCTGGAGATGGCTCTCACAGCAGCAACTGACCACCATATAGCCCTTTAGATTTTGAGTCCCACACAGTCAATGTTCAGTGTGGGAAAACGGTGTCCAAAAGGATTAGGATTAGGGCTCCAGTAGTGAATCTATCACTTTTCACTGTCTAATTTGGGAAGATTACTTAATCCCTTGTACCTCAATTTCCATGTCTCTAAAATGGGATGAAGACATTTTTACTTCCACTTCAGGAAGTTTAGGACTATAATACGTGGAAAGCATCAGGATGGCAATTGGGCATCATAAGTAGCAAACTGTCTAGTATTAGTGTTGGTATTTGTAATAGTTGATGTTTTCTTCTTGATCCATGAAACATTTTTAAATCTGGACTTCTGTGCCCTATTTCTTCAATAAGAAAAAACTACGCCAACTGCGAGATTGCATTATTGGGAAACGGCCAGAAGATGAAAATACCTGTGGTAAGTAACATTTGCCTGATACTCGGATGATAGAGTGATGAAGCAGAAAATGCAGGAGCTACAGAGTCAAAGAGGCCTGAGTTCAAATCTGCATCCGATCACTGCCTGCAGCCTGACCTGGGGAACGTCTTTAACCCCTGGTCCTCAGGTTCCTGGTCTGCAAAACAGCAATTTTACATTCATCTGGGAATTGCTGGATGAGCGCATTAAGTATTTATATTCTCTGATCCATAATGAACCCTTTGGTTACTTTCCCCCTTTTGATTTCTATGTAGTTATATATAGGGTAACTCTAACTCTGTTTCAGTTTTTTTTTTTAATAAGCCAATATGTAGAGAATCCAATAATTAAGGAACCAAACTTTTTTTAATAAGGTCAAATAGTCTCACCATAGTCCAATCACACCATTATCTGCATGTGACTCATATTAAATTGAATATCTCAGGTTGGCTTCCTGGGGAGCACAAGTGTTTCTGGGCAATGCAGATTCCCCATGATAATAATTAAAAGTTGCCTTGGTGAGAGGAGGGCAGTCAATATTAACAAAATCCAAACAATATTAGGTAGTTCATCTTCTTCAGAGATAAACAACACATCCCAAAATCAAAAATAAATTATGTTGTCACTGTCTAACTACTTTTTCCCCAAGTCTCTACTCCTGCACAGATAATTAAAAATTAACAACTGCTGAAAGGCTTCAAAAGCTTCCATCTCTTCTATTATCCAAAATATTGCCCAGCCTTCAGCTAGTGCTTCATGTCAAAATTCACTATGTAGAAATTCATTTCTCTTCATATTATGAGCTGTTATCTATCGTTCTATATAAAATTCTTTAAGCTCTCTTAGAAGCTATTTCAAAAACAGAAACACTTTCTAAAATTATTAAAGTCATATACCCAAACTACATGAACATGTTGTATCAAAGAGAATCATGCACCACCATGTTTATACCAGCACTGTTCATGATAGCCAAAAAATACGGAATCAACCAAGGTGTCCATCATCAGATGAATGGATTAAAAAAGTGGCATATATCTATCCACACAGATACACACACACAACGGAATATATTCAGCTATAAAAAATGAAATTCTATCATATTCATCAAAATGGTTGCACTTGGAGGACACCATGTTGAATGAAAAAAGTTGAACACTGAAAGACAAATACTGCATGTCCTCCCTTTTATGCAGGGGCCAAAATTTAAAAAGTAAAATAAAAAAAGAAATGCCTGTGTTTAAACAGACTAATTGTTAAGAATTGTGTACTCCTGCAGTTTTAATGATCTGTGATGATTTTAAAATGTACTGTATATGAGTGAAGTTATTGTTTATAGTCCTTGTTTATATTTCTACTGAACCGTGGTATTTTTTACTTTTTATTTGTTGAACTCTTTGTTTAGTGAGTCACCAGCCTTTGACTATAATGTAAATTAAAAATGTATTTTCAAAAATAGAAAAAGGATAAAAAAGGAAAAATTAACCATAAACATGGTTCATTTATAGATAGTGGATTTCTACAAACTTTATTCTAATGTACAGCAAGATTAAAATTTGAGCAATTTATAAAACTATAATTTTTATAAATAATTTTAGCATGGACTATACAGTATTATTTCTTGTAATAACTCTACATGGTAGGTATTATACCCCATTTATAAATAAGAAACAGGTTCTGAGAAACTAAATACCCCAAAGATGCTAAGATTAGAAACTACCATCAACTTCTATTTGAATTCAAAATCAATGCTTTTAATCTTGGGTGACTTCATTAAGAATCAATCAGTTCTCCACTCAGCCACAATGGAATAAATAATACCAGTTCCACCCCTCATTGTACAGAATGTTAATACTGGGCAAAAAAAGCATGAAGCAACCGACTTCAGGAAGTAGATACTGGGCAGACTGTAACCCCAGAGACAAACAAAACTTATCAGGTGGTTCTCATGATTATTCACATCTCTGCAAGAGGTGTATCTCCTGAGTGCAGTGTGAGCAAAGCAAGGAAGTCCTGCAGAACTGCATAGGCAGAGCTCCTCATTCAGGGCATCTGTGTGGTGGATACTGAAGAGGGTGTAGCTGCCTACAGGGGTGGCTTTAGGATTCCACAGCTCTGGAGCTGAGGGCTGAGCTGTACAAGTGCACTCACTCCCCATATGGGACCTCCGTCCCTAATGAGTTGTACGATGAGAATCAACTGCAAATTTTGTTCCCAAATGTACTCTGTATGTTGTGTGTGTGCATGGGCACAAATTTGTTGAAGTCTATGCTTAGCATGGAGTTGGTCCTCTGTATATAAAGTCAAAGTAAAAATGAACCATAATGAAGAAGGAGATGGGAGAGGGAAAGTGGGATGGGAGTTGGCGGGGGATGGGTATGGGGGAAAGTACAACTGTATTCCTAAAGTTGTATCTATGAAAAAATGTATTCATTAAATAAAAACTTTTTAAAAAGTGCAAGGAAGGACCACTCAAAACACAAAATTAAAACTTCTAGGATACTGAAAGCAAATCAGACACAGTAGAATTTAGCAGAGCTGGGAAAAACCATGCTGGGTGTGTCTTTTCAAAATCTCCATAAAACACTGGAAATCTGGCTGCAACAACCAACAGATGTGCTGAATGTGGATGCTGGGGTGGGGATCGTCTGGCCCATGGACCATATAAGGCCAGTGAAATCATTTGATTTTGCTCTGCCAAGGTAACTGCAGGTGCAACTCAAAATTCATTAAGTGTACAGCAGGCTAATTTTTAAGTTGATAATTTTATATTTTTGAAGAAATAATGGTTAAAAACTTGACAAATTAAATGCAAAATACATCCATACAGTTCCAAGAAACTAGGAGGGCAAAAGTAAGGAGAAAATCTTGAAAGATGCCCAAGAATCAAGACACATTACATACAAAGGAAAGGGATGAGAACATTCACTAATAACTGATTGTAGACAATGGAGGGTGAATGGAAATGTACTAATATCTTTAAAGTGCTAAAAGAGGGGACTCCAAGATGGCTGAATGGGCTGCTCTGGGATATGAAAAGAAAAAAGGAAGGACTATAATTCCAGTGATCTGGCTGATGGAAATTTTCAGTGAAGAAGCCAAAAAAAATTTATAAAGGCTACATATCACAATCCAATAGCCAATATCATACTGAATGGGGAAAAGCTGAGACCATATCCCCTCAGATCAGCAGTAGGACAAGGATGTCCACTTTCATCATTCTTATTCAATATTGTACTTGAAGTTTTAGGGAGAGCAATTAGCGAAGAAAAGAAATAAATGGCATCAAAATTGGAAAAGAAGTCAAGTTATCTATGTTTGCAGATGATGTGATGTTGAACATGGAAAAACCTAAACACTCAACCAAAAAGCTATTAGGATTAACCAAGCTGCAAGTTAAAAAATAACACAAAAAGTAGTGTGTTTTTTGTATGCTAATGATGAACTCACAGAAAGAAATCAAGAAAGAAATTCCATTCCCAATAACCACAAAGAATCCAATATTTAGGAATAAGTCTAACCAAAGTAAAAGGTCTCTGCAATGAGAATTATCAAACATTGATGAAAGAAATCATCAAGTACACACACACACAAAATGGAAAGATATCCTTTGCTAAATCAATCTAAAGATTCAATGTAATCTATAGCAAAATACCAATGACATTTTTTAAAGAAACAGCAGTCCTAAAGATCTCAAAACATGCAAAAATACCCGAAGTGATTCTGAACAAGAAAAATGAAGCTGAGGGTATCACAATACCTGACTTCAAAGCATACTACAAAGCTATATTAATTAAAATAGCATGGTACTGGCATAAAAACAAACACTTGGACCAATGGAATAGAATAGAGGGCCCTGAAATTAATGCACATACATATAGCCAATGGATTTTTGACAAAAATGCTCAGACCAACAATGGAGTAAGAATAGTCTCTTCAACAAATGGTGCTGGCAACAGTGAATTTAGATCTATAATTCTCACCATATTAAAAAATCAACTCAAGATGGATCAAAGATCTAAGTTAACCCGAGACAATGAAGTTGCCGGAAAAAAACATAGGGTAAACTCTCCAAGATACTGTTGTAGGGAATGATTTCTTGGGCAAGACCCCCAAAGCACAGGCAACAAGAAAACTAAACAAATGGACTATCTCAAAGTCAGAAGCTTTTGCACAGCAAAGGGAGCCATGAATAGAGTGAAGAGACATCCAACAGAAGGGGAAAAATATTTGCAAAGCATCTGATGAAGGAGTTATATCCCAAATATACCAGCAACTTTAAATATTCCACAACAAAAAAATCAACCAATCCAGTTGAGAAATGGGCAAAGGACTTCAATAGACAGCTCTCAAAAGAAGAAATACAAATGGCCAGCAAATATATGCAAAAATTCTCAACATCACTAGCAATCAGGGAAATGCAAATCAAAACTACAATGAGATATATCTCAGCCACAAAGAATGGCTCAAGCCCAAAACACGAATCACAAATGCTGGTGAGGATGTATTTTATATTACATATCAACTTAGGAGTTTTACCAAAACGCGTGAAGTGAAAATTTCACAGTATTCAGGGATATTTTCATTCCTTGCTAAGGAATTAACAGACAGAAATCAATGAAAATACAGATGACCTAAACCATATCAACTCACTTCACCCAATTTACATTTACAGAACACAAGATCAAAAAAAATTAAGAATACATGTTTGTTGAAGATGTGCATGGAAAATTTACCATACAGAACAAGTGCTGGACCATCAAAAAGTTTCAGTAAATTTCAAAGTTTGAAATATTAAGAGTATGTTCTCTGAACCATTTCAGACTTTTGAAGTCATATTCACTTACCACAACAAAAGTTAGACAATAATTAAAAATTAGATATACTAAAAATAACCCAAAATATTTGGTGGTGAAATACATTTCAAAGGAATCCATGGGTCATATAAGAAAAAGAAAATAGTTCAACATGAGCTTTAATGTAGAAAACATCAAAATTTGTGTAATATAGCTAAAATAGTTATATAGTTAACAGAAGGAAATTTACAAATATAAATGTTATACTAGAAAAGATGAAAAGTTTGAGATCAATAATTGAAATTTCCACCTGAAAAAACCTGAAAATGGAAATAAAACTAAATTCAAAAACAGATAAAAAGTAAAAATTAATATTAGATCAGAAATCAATGAAAAGAGGTGAACAAAGGAGAAAATTAACAATGTTGCAGCTCATTTGTTATTTGAAAGCATAAATAAAATTGACATGTCTACATGAAGAATGATCATGAAAAAAGAGAAAACCAAAGAATGGGTTATTATAACAAATCCTAGACATCAAAAAGATACTAAAAATATGATTCATTTTTTTCCAATTTATTTGACAACTTAAATGAAAGGACAAATTGAAAAATCATGCTTTCTAAAATAACAAGAAAAAAATTCATTTTTCTGAGTTACAGTTCTTTGTATAGTCCTGACATTTAGAACTTTGTTAATCTTGCACATATTCATAAATAGAACAAGAAGGCAAAATAGAATATAAGCTGAAATAAATTAAACTGACGGTATTATAAATAAATGCATATCCACACTGATAGGAGACAGGAAATAATGATGTAAATAAATTTAGAAAACATTATATTCTGATTTTTAAAAAGTCAACAATAATTGTAACTTCTCCCAGTTTGTGAGGCTTATTCTACACAAACATATAGACCAGCAATTTTAAAACCACTTTTTGTCATCTGCAAAGAGGGATAGTTTGACTTCTTCTTTCCCAATTTGTATCCCTTTAATTTCTTTTTCTTGCCTAATAGCTCTGGCTAAAACTTCCAGAACTATGTTGAATAGCAGTGGTGAGAGTGGGCATCCCTGTCTGGTACCAGATCTCAGTGGAAATGCTTCCAACTTTTCCCCATTCAATAGGATGCTGGCCATGGGTTTTTCATAAATTGCTTTGATTATATTGAGGAATGTTCCTTCCATACCCAATTTGCTTAGAGTTTTCATCATGAAAGGGTGTTGAATTTTATCAAATGCTTTCTTTGCATCTATTGAGATAATCATATGGTTTTACTTCTGCAGTTTGTTAACGTGGTGTATCACATTGATTACTGATGCCATAAACAAGAGTGTCAATTTGTTAAGTCAACAACAGGAATCACTGTGCACTTACTCCTCATGTAGGATCTCTGTCCTTAATGTACTGTACCTTGTGATTTAATGCTATAACTAGTACTCAAACAGTATTTTTCACTTTGTGTCTCTATGTGGGTAAAAACTGTTGAAATCTTCACTTAATATATGCTAAACTGATCTTCTGTATATAAGAGAATTGAAAATGAATCATGATGTGAATGGAATGGGAGAGGGAGTGGGAGATGGGAGGGTTGCTGGTGGGAAGGAAGTTATGGGGGGGGGAGCCATTGTAATCCATAAGCTATACTCTGGAAATCTATATTCATTAAATAAAAGTTAAAAAAAAAAGCCAAGCACAGACACAAAAACATTTTATGAATATTCCAGGATTGAGCTACTAAATAAATGTACTATAAATAATGAGAGCCAGGTTTCTAGTTCTCAAATAAAGGCATAATTAATAAGGAAAACCAGAAGGAAACTTGTGATATTGCACTGCTATTAGAGAAGTTTAATGAATCATGGTTGTTAAAATATATGTTACAGATAAATATACACATATAGTTGTGTATATAAATCCATATATTTCTTTAGCTTTACCTGCTGAGAGGACCTAGAAGCAATGATAACCCAGAGCCCAAGTGCAAACCTAGCATCCATATCTTATCTTACAAAAGCAAATAGGCAATAGGCAGGTGAAAAGATGCTAAGCATCATTAGTCGCCAGGAAAAGGTGAATTAAACCACCACGGAATAACAGTACACAACTACGATGAAAATCCAAAAAGACTGTCCGACCTAAACGTTAGTTAGGATGTGTAACTCTATGTATTGCTGTGGGTAAGTAGTGTGATGACTTTATAAAAATCACATATGAACTTATCACATGGCCTGGGCATTCCATTCCTAATTATTTTTTCCAAGACAAATGAAACCATATACCCACCCAAAGGCTTGTTCACAAAAGATCGTAGTTGCATTCATAATAACCAAATTAGAAACAATCCAATGTCTGATAAGAAAATAGCTTTACAATATATTTTGTAGTATATTTATACCATGGAATGCTACTCAGCAATGAAAGGCAGTGTCAAGTATTAAACATAATATAGGTGCAGGTGCTGTGGCATAGTGAGTAAAGCCACCACTTGCAGTGCTGGCATCCCATATGGGCAGCAGTTGGAGACATGGTTTCATGCTTACTGGCTAGAGGAAGATAGATTTGGGGTTAATGTTTTTAGATCACATGGTGAGATTTCATAGTCTCCTCAAAAATAAGTAGTAAATAAGAACAAGAGGGTTTAAAATACATATGGAGTAAAACTCAACAGAATTTGCCTTTTTTGTCTTCTAGAAAAGCTCACCATTGTGCACCATCCAAGTGGTAAGTGCTAGTTATTTACTGAAATATTTTAAACTAAAAGTACATAGCTATTTTCAGTATTAATGGGAACATATTAGCTCAATATAAAAATTCATACGGATTTTATATATTTACATGCAGAACCACTTGACATCCAAAATAATGTGAGGTGATTCTGCAATAGCAATGCTAGAAGCACCACAAGACAGAAAAAGGAGCATTGCCTTCAACTCCAGTGGACCTAGCTGTTCAGAACTTACTAGTTGTGACCCTTAGCACATCCAAGCACAGCTTAAGTAGCTCTCTAGGCCTCAGTTTTCTCATATGTAAATTGTAAACTAGAATCGTACCATGGGGTATTGCTACATAGAGGGAGTTTAGACTGATAATTTATGTACGTGGAGGCTGGTGCTTGATACTTCAGAGTTACTGGTAAAGCAAAGAAATCTTAGCAAAACTTGAAAGAGTGATCAGCTCAACACGATGGGGACAGAATGTGAGCTGAATTTTGGAAAGATCAAGAGGGACCATTAAATAGCCTAGAGGCATCTCTCTGTAGCCTGGACCAAAGCCCTTGGTGGGGAAACGGAGAAGCAATAGTACAGAGCCTGCAGCTCGGATGGAAAATGGGAAGCCTATGGGGAAGCAGGAGGAGCCGTCACAAAAGCCAATGCAGAGCAGAAGGAACAAGATTTCTTAGAAGACTGTGCTTTGCAATTGGCCCATCCTAGTGAATGTGGACAAGAAAAAGAAAGTGTAACCCAGTGAAGATTTTAACTTCAAGGTGTGAGACAGATTGCTCCTAAAATGAGATGGCTGCTCCATATCCTACCCAACTCAATGTAAAAGGATAGGAGAAATTAAAGCCTATTTGCCAAGGATGCCTTTTCAGTATGTCCTTTTTATCACGTTAGTAAATTGTCTCTTCATTCATATATCATTTTTAAATGTCCTGAATAGATGAATAACCAAATGTGCAAATGACCAGAGGTTGTGACAGAGTTTGTGTTCTTAGGTAACGAAATTGCCCACAATGAAAATCTGTTGTATAATGCACCCTTCAGCCATAAGGTAAGCAATACACATGTTCTTAATTTTTATGATTTACAGAGGAAAAAACTCCCTTGTTGGGGAAAAAAACATGAAAGTCTTCTATCCTGTGTTTTGAAACATTCTAACAAATGTGAACAAAATAGTTTACATGAATCTTTTTTGTAAAAACCCATGAGTAGTAATTTAATGAAATTGCACAAAAAAAAAAGAAGGAGCTCAAAGAGGAAAGCCACCAAGGCCAAAATATGGCTAAATTCAACATATACAGACCAAATACATCTTAAAGGAATTATAAATATATAATACATATTGCTTCAACAATAAAAATATGACAAGTCCCTATCAATCACAATGTATTTATTACTTAAAGTCTAGGTAGTGGAGCAATATAGCTCCAAAATATTGTTGATACAAATATGTGTTACTTTATATCAACAAATTTACAGAAAACAAACTGCTAATGAGAAGCTAAAAATAACACTAAAGGACAGCAGCAACTGAAAAACCAAGACCACCAATTCAAGACAACACTCAGCAATGTCCTGACCACAATATTTCTTCTTAAAAAATCACACAATTCCAACTAACTACATATATGATATAGGATATTTGCACTGTTACCAAAGGTTGTGTGACAGATGAATCTGTAAAAATACAGAATTAGAGTCCTTGGAAATTTTCATAATTAATCCATTTTAGTTTTCCAATTTTGGTAGCCCTGTGCTCTCACGACTAGCAGAAATCCTAAGTAACCATAAAAGAAATTTACCCTAAAAACATTGATTTATTTACATTTCTGGGCCATTATGTAACCCACCAATAAGTTACAGTGCCACGCAGTCATACACAAGGAGGCCAGCATTGTGGTGCAGTGGATTGGGCCACCACTTCTGTTGCCATCATCATCATCCAGGCCCATCTGCTCTGCCTCTAATCCAGCTACCTGCTGGTGTGCCTGGGAAATCAGCAAATAACTCCTGTACTTGGGCCCCTGCCAGTCACATGGGAGACCAAGAAAACTTGCAGGCTCCTGGCTTTGGCCTGACCCATTTCTGACCTTTGCAGCCATTTAGGGAGTGAACCAGTAGATAGCAGATCTCTCTCACTGTCGTGTCCTACTCTGTTAGCCTTTCAAATAAATAATCTTTTTTAAAATTGAAAATGTTCATAGAAAAATGGATTTAGAAGTTTATTTTGATGCAAAAAGATTTTAAATACATGCATAGTCTTTTTTTCATAATATGCATTTTTCATAAACATTTTTCTGATTTCTCATACTATAAACTTGTTCTAACATACCAAGATTGTGGGATGCACCAAGGTCTGGAGTTTATGAAAATATCTTTATCAATTGAAACTTCTATAAGATCAGAAGGACTATACTGATGTGGCATTTGTTTTTAAGAGGAAGATTTTGGATAAGAGGCAAAGAATCAGAGTTGCTAATGCTTAGCCTATTCTTCCTTAAAATAGAAATAAAATTTGAATTCAAAGGCTTTGATGTAGTTGATTGAATTTTACAATGATCCTGTTTCCTTTTAAGATGGAGGATTGCCTTGCCATTTGCCTCTACAAAGCTATTTTTCCCCCATGGCTGTGGAAGACAACTAGGATTGTGCTGCATTTCTATGTTCACTCTTAAAAGGGAAAAATGCCAACTCTGTATTTTTTACTTTTTCTTTCTTCCTAGCTTCCTGCTAGACCCCAAGTTGAAAAGGAATTTGGTTTCTGTTGCAGAAAAGATCATTAAAAAAGGTAAAACATAATATATATATATATATTACATATATATTAAACATAAGTTAAGGACTTGAAGGAATCATTTGTCTAAAACACAGAAATCTGTAAATATTTCATTGTCTTCTCCTAAAAGGATAAACATGTGTTTTTCCAGTTAAAGGTGATTGTTGCTTAGAAAGATTTATGGGTGGGGTGATTCTGTGCTAGCTAATAAATTTCTATTGATGAGTCATTATTCAATAAGACATTTCCTGTGATCTCATTTTCAGGTTATTACAATGAAACTCAAGAATTTGCAGACATTGCGCTTTCTGCATGAAACAAGTTAGCATTTGGATTGTCTGCTCTCTCCATGGAAAATCTATACCATGAAAACAGAAGTAAGACTCTGGAGTTTCCAATTTGTCATGGTCACAACTTACTAGCATTGTTCCTGCTCCAGATGAGTATATCAATGTTAAAATAGAATGCCAAACAACGATCGTGTTCTTTGAAAATATTTGCATTGTGTAATGCATTTTGTCACTGAAGCAGCTAGTTCCTATTTTGACAATTAAAAGTAAACAAAAGCAAAGAAGTTAAATGCTGTGTGGCAAAGTTATTGGGCCCGTTTGAGTCACTAACTTTAATAGATTACTCATCCTCAGTTGACAATCAACATGTAAATACAAATTCTCTTCCTGCATTTTCTAGATTTCTTACATTCAAAGCTCTAATTATTTTTACATCATGTTTGCAAAAACCTTTCCTCATTTAGTGGCTGTTGGCATACAACTCTAAGAATCTTATTTTATTAAATCTGTATCTCAATAGAGTTCCACAAGTATATTCTTTAAAAACTTAGTTTTATCAACTTATTTCTTGAAAGCAATTTACTAGCTTAGACTAAAATGCAGTTTTATCATACTATGATTTACACATGCAAATGCTACAAATAAATTGAAATGTTCATAGCTGTGCCTTTTCAAATAAATGTATGAAAATTAACCACTATATTTTTCTGATTACCAGTATAAAGAGGGAGTTATACCAAAATATTTAATAAATAAATGAACTTCACTGTGTAGGGCCTAAATAGTAACCACAGATGATATTTTTTTCTAGCTTCTAAACAGTGGCAGGAATGTCCATGAGTATTTATAGTCATTCTGTAAAATGCTTCTCATGGGACTCATAACTATTAACGTTCTCAAATAAACTCATTTTCAAATGTCATACAGTAATTTGATTAGGCTTCAATAGAAGGTGCCTTTGGTTATGACATTTGCAAATTCAGTACATAGTTTCACATCCACACGGTGAGTCATCATTTCTGTGTGCTGTCCCAAAGAGTTAGAAAAAGGGAAAAGTGCTTTTCTGTAACTTTATAGATCTACAAATCTCAAATGAATTTATCATTTTTGAAGGAAGAACTTCCATATTATCCTTTGCATGATGACGACAATTCTGCCATTGGCTTTATTCCTGTCAAAAATTAGGTAAAATGTCAACTTTTCTACTTGTAATGCAATTAAATCACTTCATGCCTCAGACTCAATTTAGAGTGAAAGTGGGAGATTGTCTTTCATACAGGTAGATATCAAGTATCAGGACTTCTAACTGCTACCTTTATGGTTGGACCTAGATTAAAACCATGGCCAGAGCCCCCTTTCCTGGCCCTGGAAATCTCACTACTTAGTCATGACAAAGAAAAATGGAAAAAGAAATCTAGACATAACTGACATCTCCAGGATTCCTTTACCATGGCTCCTATCCTTGACCAATTAGGCTTTGCCACAATCATTCCTAACATACCTTCTCTTTCCCATCACCTCTCCTCCAGAATCAGATTTGTTCCCAAGCCATTACACCTAACTTAGCCAGGAACCACCCATCCCTTGGGTTCTTAAGTTTATCAACACTGACTTCCAGAGAAATTTGAACTGGTACTGAATGCTGTCAAAAGCGTTGTGTCTGAGTGTGTGTGTGTGTGTGTGTGTATTTAACACTAAGTCTCTGGCTTTGCCAGAGCCAGAAATATGGATAGACAATGTTGGAGGAAGAGAGCCAGAAGACTCTTTATCCTGCCTATTGCTTAAAGAAAAAAAATCAGATGAAAAGTAAATACAAAGAGGTTAAGAAGAATAAGCCAAATGAACGAGTGATCCCAACTGAAAATGATCCATGGGGAAGTGATAGTTTTTGTCTCTCGAGGAAGGCCATAGATGAAACCCACATAAAGAACAAGTATAAATTTAAGTTTAACCACCTAATAGATGCCTTTCCTTAGCAGTGGAAGAGAACGGGGAACAGGAGCAAAGAAAGAAGTTAGTGGGATAGAAGGACCTGATATTTATTTCCCTGGAGGTTTGCGCATTTCTATAGGAGCCCTAGCTGCGTCCAGAAAAGGCAGGCCTGCACAGAAGATCTGAAGACCCTATGCTGTATCTGGAAGCCTCAGCAACAAGTTGCTAACATACCTTCTCTTTCCCATCACCCCTCTTCCAGAATCAGATTTGTTCCCGAGACATTATGCCTAACTTAGCCAGGAACCACCCATCCCTCAGATTCTGAAGTTTATCAACACTGTGACTTCCAGAGAAATTTGCACTGGTACTGAATGCTGTCAAAAGCATTGTGTCTGAGTGTGTGTGTGTGTTTTAACACTAAATCTCTTATTTTCTAGCTAGATAATTCTATATGATATAGAGGAAGCATATATGTCAGTAGTTTCATAACTGGGACAGTTTTTCTCCCACTTCCCTGTACATTTTACAATATCTGGAGCCATTATTGACTGCCTTGCATGTGGGAGGTGGTCTTAAGAAGTGTGTACAGGGGCCTGTGCTGTGGCACAGTGGCTTAACACCCTGGCCTGAAGTGCCAGCATCCCATATGGGCGCCAGTTCTAGTCCCGGCTGCTCCACTTCCAATCCAGCTCTCTGCTATGGCCTGGAAAAGCAGTGGAGGATGGCCCAAGTCCTTGGGCCCCTGCATCCACGTGGGAGACCAGGAAGAGGCTCCTGGCTCCTGACTTCTGATCGGTGCAGCTCCGGCTGTTGCAGCCATCTGGGGAGTGAACCATCGGATGGAAGACCTCTCTCTCTCTTCTCCTCCTCTGTGTAACACTGACTTTCAAGTAAATAAATAAATCTTTAAAAAAAAAAAAAAAGAAGTGTGTACAAATCAAGGATGCTGATAAACACCTTGCTACACCCAAGTGTCCATTCCAGAATGTCAGTGGTCCAAGGCTGAGCAACCCTGACCTAAACTATAAAGATTAATGCATCAGTGTTGTTAAAATAAGAACAAACTTTAGGATTTTTGAAAGTGGAACCCCTTATGATAGTATAAATGAATGTCTTTATTTTGAAGTACAAATGACTTAAGCTTAAATGGATCACTGAAGACTCAGAGAATGGAGGAGTCTAATGCATTTTCATAAGTCAGCATTCAGAGTTCTATCACTGGAACCTCTACTTTTTTAGAAAATGAGACTACTCTCCGTACTTTCTAATGAGAATGACCTTATAACTTGAGTCATTATTACATCCTATTTATGTGCTAAGTATTAGCTCATCTGTGTTCCTTCTTGTTTCCTACAATCCTCAAGGGATCTCATTTTAATAACTTGGCCTTACACAAATTTTCACTTCATACTGTTTTTCTAAGTGGGTAAATATTTAGGTAAGAGATCTGCGTTGTGAGCCTCATCCAGTAAGTCCAAGCTGATTGACACAGTGGTGGTCCAAGGCCCTACTTGTAGCTTTTCCTGTGGCTACACCTGCCAGTTACACTTGTAGGCCTGCCTTATTTTGTGGTACCCAACTGTAGAAACAGAGATACCACATAAAATACAGCAAAAGCCAACAGTTTACAACAGATCTCAAATTTTAACTGACAGTATATCATGTGCTCATTACTCTCATCCTCAAGATGCAAATGTTAGTGCTTCTTGTGTGATTCTATGGCTATTGAATGACACCATGCAAAGGAAATGACCAGTGCAGCATCGCTTTCATGAGTATCAGCTTTGAATCAAAACTCACCTAGTTCAGAACCTGGCTCAGCTAAGTCCTAGCTGTGTGAGCAGTCAGTTTTTCCATTTCCCCAAGCTCTTTGACATCTTTGACAAGATGGAGATAACAATATTAACATTTGAGGAGTCTTATGGTACAGCTAGTTAAGCTGCCCACTTGGGGCACCAGCATCTCATATCAGAGTGCTGGCTGAGGCCCTCCTGCTCTGCTGCTGATCCAGTTTCCAACTTACGTACACCTTGGAAGACAGCAGATGGTGGCTCAAACACTTGGCCCCTGCCACCCATGTGGGAGAGACGAATGGAGTTTCAGGCTTCTGGCTTCAGCCTGGCCGAATATGGGCTGTTCCAGGCGTCTAGGGGAGTGAGCCAGCTGATAGATATCTGTCTTGTCTGCCTTTCAAGTAAACAAACAATTAAGAATACTAACATCAGCTTTGAGAATTAAATATAGAGAAATAATTTATCAACCAGAGAGGACATTTTAAGTAGTTAGATGGATTATTTTTAATAAGGTGGTTTGCAAAAAGTAATTCTCTTTGAAATGGGAATGCTGGTTGATCCTTTAGTTATCTGACTGGCTCTTACACACAGCCCTGTAGCCTGTGATACACATATATGCTATTAAAAAATAATATGAATGAATACAAACTATTCGATGGCCACTCTGATCAGTCATAAGCATCAGAAATGTAGAGTCCAGTGGAAAACTCCAGAAATGGGAAGATCCTATAGCAGTGTTTTCCCAAGTTATGTTTCAAGAAATTTATAGAGGATATTGCACTAAAATGAGATTCAGTGACCAAGAGAATTTGTAAAATGCCATGTATTTTATTCCATTTGAATAGTGTATCAAAGAATTATAAAACTCATCATGTGATGAAGAAACATATACTCAGGAAGCGTGTGCTTATACTTGATAAATATGTATGGTGGCCAGATTTTTCATTTGTTGAGAAAAGACTGTGTGGAGCCACTTGTTAAGATGCAGTCTGAAGCCTGTCTCAGTGGAAACTGTCATGATGAAGCACTGATGCTTGCCGTGGGTAATGAGGAGGAGTCAGAGTGGTAGCACACATGCTACATTTTTGGAACTCATGTTTTACACGGGGAAGCATAACGTAAAATATCGAATTCTGAGTTTTGCAAATAATAACATTCTGGTTCATTCAGAAAAGGAGTTTAACTGGCCTATCACTTGTCTTCAAATAAATTAGTATACATATCTTTGGATAAAATACTCATTTCTGTTTATTCTGATTATTCTTACCAGGTCTTCAAATCAATACCCACTTTTGTTCCAACTCAGAACTGATCTAACATCACTGAGCAATGCTGCATTCTTTTTTTTTAATTATTTTTTGTTTTTTATTTATTTGACAGGTAGAGATATAGTGAGAGAGAGAGAGACAGAGAGAAAGGTCTTCCTTCCAATGGTTCACCCCCCAAATGGTTGCTGCAGCCGGCGTTGTGCCATTCCAAAGCCAGGAGCCAGGTGCTTCTTCCTGGTCTCCCATGTGGGTGCAGGGCCCAAGCACCTGGGCCATCCTCCACTGCACTTCTAGGCCACAGCAGAGAGCTGGACTGGAAGAGGAGCAACCGGGACTAGAACCGGTGCCCATATGGGATGCTGGCACTGCAGGTGGAGGATTAACCAAGTGAGCCATGGCACCAGCCCGCAATGCTGCATTCTGAAGTGTATAATACACTAAATCAATTTCTGAACCAATGGAAGCCAGTGGGATGGTTTTGCTCTCTATAGCAGTATGTGACCCTCAGAGACAGAGAGATATTTGCCTTCAGGAAATTAACCAACAATGTGATAGATTTTCTCTTTCACTTCCCAGAGTGAGGATAGACATATCATCTGAAATGAAGGTATTATTAATTTTGCCCTGAGCACTTCCTCTTTTCTTTGTTCAAGCAAAAGACAGACAGGGGACTCACAGAAGTGTAGAGTGATGCTCTGGCACTCAAGTGAAACTATCTGCCGTCATGCTCCGGAGCCTTGAGCTCCCAGATGCAGGACTGGCATTTCTCATCATGGAACGGAGTTGCCCTGTAACTCAGATAGAGCCAGTGATGCCCAGACCCTTCCCAAGTCTTCCACATCAGCTGACTTGGGGGAAACCCAGCCGATGACCTTCCGTAAACAGTGATACTGAAAAGCTCAAAATTTCACTTAGGAGCTCCGTCTGTTCTCCCGAGTTGGACTTCCATACCTGTGGTTCTTTGAGTGGGATACACAAATACCTCCCCAAATGGATTTTGGTCATAGATAATCTTTCCTAGTTTAACATAAAGAGAAATGACCAAAACAATGGCAAACACAGCCCATCTATGACTAGTAAAACTCTCTGCTTCACATTTTTGTGAAAGGTATCAGATAAGCGTTATGCTTTCCTGAAGAATAAGCTATTTCTTCAGCCAGAAAAGCCAGTGTTCATGAAGGATCTGCTCATGTGCCAGCCTCTAAAATGGGAATGGAAGAAAGTCCAGTCGTCTTTAGAATACAGCAGGAAATTTATTTGAACAAAAGTTGTTTGAGACTATTTGAAAAAGTGTAAATAGTACTACACATCCTAGAAAAAAATATATATTTACATAATAGTTTGTGTTTTTTACTCCAGGACCACTATTGCTACTTCCATCATTTATATTTATTATAAACATTT